GAAGTAAATTCATAGTCATAGATCTAGATAGGTTTCTTTCAACTGCAATTCTGGCGAAGACATGGATCCTATAGCAGCCACGGCTTAGAGCAGTGCTGTGAAATGCAACGGGCATAGTTCTTGCATTTCGTCGCCGCGATATCATCGCCTGGGATTTCGATGGTTTGGGCGATGAAAACGCGGCGACGAAATTGCTCTTCGCATAGTACTTGCGATTCCGCGATTGCACAAAAGCTTATTGGAATTTGTTCTCATGGGTATTTCATTTCATTTCATTTATTCATAGGCATAACCCTATGTTTCAACAACACGAACTATAAAAAAATCAACAAAAAACCACAACAACAACACATAAATATCAAAGATCACCTGAACTCAATGGAAGATCAGAGTTAATGACACAACAACTCGTAATTTGTAAGATCATGTGAAAGAACAATCAGATCAGAATTAGCTATCACTGGACTGCAGATACTTCCTGAGAACAGCCTTAAACTGGGATAACTTTGCAGGGAACAAATGCCGTCTCAAAAGCCTATCAATGTCCTGAACGATACGGCACGTGAAGAATTTCTTGCGTAGCTTTAACTTGGCTCTAGGGATAATGAGCTTTCTACTACCTCCCCTTGCATTGGATGCTCTGGTTGGAAAGAACTTTTTGAATTCTAAGCCACATGTACCATATGCAATCTTATGAGCCATCACAAGATCAAATTTGCGCCTTCTGTAGGCGAGTGAGGAGAGTCCCAAATTTGTATTCCGGATGTTACCGTTTGGAATGAGATCATAGTGAAAACCTGTTTTGCGTATGAAAAGTTTACGAGTGAAATTGTTCTGAACTTTCTCGATATAGTTTATTGTTTTGCACAAATATGGATTGTAAATCACGGTACCATATTCCAACATGGATCTTATGAACGACTTATACGCTTGCAGGAAGACAGCTGCATCTTTATTTTCAAAAGCTCTAAACAAATTGTAGACCGTTCTTGTGGCTTTGTCTGCTATCATCTTACAGTGTTCATCAAAAGTGAGGTTACTCTTAACTATGAACCCTAGATCCCTTATTGAGTTGACTTCTTGGAGATAAGAGTCCCCAACAAGATACTTAAACTTTGGATTGCAGTTTCTTGGTCCAACGTGGATCACCTTAGTTTTTTCCCTGGAAATGGGCAATGACCAATTATTTGACCAGTTATAAACTTGATCGAGGGCTTTTTGCAACACATTATAACCAGACACATCCCCTACAGCAGCATACAGCTTGAAGTCATCTGCGAATGCACTACAAGAAACCCCCAGGTTAAGTGGAATAGTTGGTAGCTCAAACGTATAAATGTTGAACAGCACAGGAGAGAGGACTCCCCCCTGTGGAACTCCACTGTGCATCTTACGAGGTTTGGAAGATGAACTATTGACACGAACCGAAAAAGACCTGTCCGCAAGGAAGGCATTGATCCAGGCGATAATGCGAGGATGCATACCGACCATGTTTAACTTTTGCAATAATTTAACATGAGGTACTTTATCAAAAGCCTTGGTAAAATCGAGATAAATTATGTCAGTATTAAGTCCGTTATCAAAATTTTGTGTCCAATCATTTAGAGATTGAAGCATAGCTGTAGTGGTAGATTTACCACTTTGAAATCCATGTTGAAACGGTGAGATGATCTTGTATTTATTCAAATGTTTGACTATATGTTTCTTCAATATCTTCTCAAAAAGTCTAGCAAATATAGAAGTAATACTGACTGGTCGGAAGTTTTTTGCAGTACTATACGGTTTCATTTTCGGTATTGGTGTAACATATGAAGTGCGCCATCTAGCTGGCACTTCTGCTCTCATAAAACTCAAGCTGCACAAAAATTGAAGAGGTCCGGCTATAATGTGTGCTACTGATTTTATGAAATGTAATGGTAACAAGTCTGGTGTGAGCGAAGTTGAGTGAGGCCAAGAGATCAGCAACCTATAGATGTCATCAGTAGAAAAACTAGGTTCTTCCTCCATTACAGGAAAACAAGGAGAATGTGAACTGATATTCATGGAGGCACTTTCTTGGAAATTGATTTCGAAAACAATAGCAAAATGTTCTGCTTTGTCAAAATCATCAGATATAATAGTCCCATTCTCATCTACAATTACTCCAATCTTACTCTTTTGTTTAAGTCTAGAACTGATCAATCTGAAAAAATGGGCCTTCTTCCGCGACTGGACTATTTTCCTTTCAACAGAAGCGTTGTATTTCCTAAGCCTTTTGGTAAAAATAGTGTTCATTCTGATATACTCGCTCCAATTCTCATTACTCCCACCATGCACTACTCTAATCCATGCATGCTCTCTTCTCTCATATAATTTACGAAGATAGCTGGGAAGATAAATGGTTTTTGGTGGAACTGAAACCATGGGAACGTATCTATCAATGGCATGGTGCAGAATGAATAAAAATAATTCATACATATCGTTAATGTTATTAGCTGAGTTAAAAGATCCATACCAATCTATATCAGCTAAGTATTTAAACAAATTGTCCCAGTCTGCATGTTTATAGTCTCTACGTATAATATGCTCCGTGCGACCAGCGTAGTGTTTGAGTAAGAACCTAACTGTTGCATGATCACTTGACCCCAACGGTGCCTCAACTCGAACCCTTTTGATCAAGTCTTCATCATTTGTTAAAACTAGGTCCAGGAGATTATGACCCAATGTATGGGAATGTACTTTCTGTGATAATCCGTATAACTGACACATGTTCAAGAAATTTCTTGAAGCTGTGCCACCCTTGGCTGCGGGTTGGGCTGCCCAATCAATACCGGGAAAGTTAAAGTTACCCATAAGGACCAAAGCTTTACTGCAACCCAAAAGATCTGTGATGGCTTTTATCATTTGTTCAGTTTTGTTTACACTGCAGGAGGGGGCTCTGTACACTATAATGATACGCACTGAGACATAAGCAAGGATATCAACACTAAGTATCTCATAACTATCTGCTACTGATTCACTGAACACAAGATTTGGATTTAGATTGCATCGGATTATAAGAGCTACACCCCCTCCTCTTTTACCAACTCTATCGTGACCCAGTGAATGCGAAAGCGAAGCATCGATGTGCCAGTCATATTATGAGAAGAACAGATGAACACTAAGAACATCAATGTAATCAAGAAACATTAAAAACAGAGTGGTTTTCTCGCAGTTAAGAACGCCTCAACTAAGACAAACGAGTCCGGCAGATGTGCTCGTAGAATGACGATGGATGACGTAGATGCGTAGATGGACGATAAATCACTTGGATAGAACTACTGCATATGAAAACTCGCAAACGTAGCTACTGCAGACCAGATGTCCTGGGATGTCAGATGTTTGCGTAAAGTATATGTAGAATAGAAATTTTTGTGAGTGAACGAAGAAGCGCCAAATTTTGCACGCATATGTTTTCAACCCCTGCACAGACGATAGGCTATTTTTGCAGCGACTCGCTCAATCCTTCTATCGGTTTATTGATTTTGAGCACTTTGTAATCAAAATGAAGTCTTATCAGACGCTATTAAACCGCTTGCATATTTTGGCGTGATGGAAGTAAACCTCATTTTCGTTCGCAGTGGGGAAGATGCGGCTATTGAACAGGGCGGACTGAAGATATGCTCTCACTTAGAGTAAATTCATAGTCATAGATCTAGATAGGTTTCTTTCAACTGCAATACCGGCGAAGACATGGATCCTATAGCAGCCACGGCTTAGAGCAGTGCTGTGAAATGCAACGGGCATAGTTCTTGCATTTCGTCGCCGCGATATCATCGCCTGGGATTTCGATGGTTTGGGCGATGAAAACGCGGCGACGAAATTGCTCTTCGCATAGTACTTGCGATTCCGCGATTGCACAAAAGCTTACTGGAATTTGTTCTCATGGGTATTCCGCTCATTCACTCTCAGCATCCACCACTGCTCATGCCAACGTGATGACACTCGAATACAGAAGTTTTCACCGTTTGTCTGTCTCTCATCAAGTCACTTCTTTAAAGGTTTACCACTTTTTGGCAAATTCTCGCCTATGAATGTTGCCCTCTAAAAGCTAATAGCTACAATTAGGACATTCTTCGCTAAGTTTTTGGAAGAAACGATCAGATGGAAGAAAGATTGACATGGGCATTTCTAGTGCCAACAAAAGTTTAAGTAGAATTTTTTGAAAAAAAAATTCGAGAACATCACCTGAAAATAGCGGAAATACGCAAACATAACCGTCTCGAGCGATGCACCAGTATGAAAAACGAAATTCTCCAGCAATTATGCGAACAGCAAAACGTGAGATTATCCATGCAAAATGAAATGACAAATGACAAGTTTAGTTTGCAAACTACTAAAACTAAAAGTTAGCTTACTCGCAAAAAGCACCAAAAAACAAATCATAGTTCTTCTTAGGAAACGGGACACCCAATAATTGCACAACTACTCTCGTAAAAATTTTTTTCTCTTAAATAAAAACGAGTTAAACTTCAATGCATGTCTATAGAAACTCTCAAAATCTCCTTCTAACCTCAGCGATATCGCTCGGTCGCCGGTGCAATACGCGCGACGCGACATTGCTGAGTTCCAAAATCGCGGCGGTTATCGCCGGTGAACTATGCTCTAGCCAAAAACGCCGCGATCCGTCGCGGCGGATGACTACCACAACCGCTGTGGAGGACGCATAGGCTCGCAATGAGTGCGTAACAAATGTCGTTTTACAAAAATCGCAGCGCGACGGAATCGCGATCACATGCCCTAAGCCATAGAGGCAAGCTCGTCAGATTATTATGATCTGCAAAACGCTGTTAATTATTGCAGGAGGTTGTTGAACCAAGTGCTTGGCAGCTACATTGAAGTATTAGAGTCAGATGAATAAGCACGGCAACAATGTGGCTGATTATGGAGCGCAGCTTTTTTCAAAAAACTAAACAAGAAAGCTTTGCTTTATTTCCAACTACAACGTTCTAAAACGCTCTTCTATAACTTTGAGCATTCACCTGTTTTGCCTCTGTTGTGGTCGTCTCTCTCGAAACTTGACGTGCGAAATCTTTCGATTCTTTCAAATCTCCTCTGGCTTCTTTATCAGCTGAATCATATGATTCTTGATTTGTTCATAAAGCTGCTAATCCTTTATACCTTGTGCTGCTTCCGGTGTAGCTGCGTCTTTTAGACCTTGACTTCCTTCTGCCACTGCGTCCTTTGAACCGCCCTCTGCGATGTTGACTTCGCCCATGTTGATGGCTGTATTGAAAAAGAATGACCCACACTCTAAACTGAGTTCAAGCACAGCAACATTATCACTCTTATTGAATCTAACAAACATTGCTTTCATTTCAACTTTCCTACGAGATAGTAGCGGTGATAGGCTGTTGGTGTTTCCTCATAAATAAGTGGTTTTCTAGAAAAGTGCACACTATTTAATTGTTGATAACTTTCTTGTTTCTGAAACATGCGCAATCTTCATCAACTTTGATGATTGCCGAGTCCTAATTTACTGTATTATCCTTTATTGGTAGATCAGGGGCGCTATGTATCAATCACACGATCGTGAGATCGTGTGCTCGCTACCGTTGAAAACATGCCCAAGATCAGGTGCGAGCACACGATCTCGCGATGTATGAAGCACACGATCTTGCCACAAGATCGTGTAGCAGCGCACGATTGTCGAGATCGTGCGCTGCTCGGCGACAAATCGTGCGCTCTCCATGTAGACGTGTGAAAGTCCATGGTGTCAATACGTCCAATGTTTTCCGCACGCCAATTGTGCACAGGTTCGGACCAAATTTGACCAGTACAACATCTAAGTTATTGACTAAAGTTATAAACTTGTCTTGTCGACCATGTAGTATCACAAGTTTCCCCGAATGACGTATTCCCTCCTGATGACGGTCTTCCATTCCATATTCCAGGTTTTAACTTTGCACATGTGATGCAAGCAATTAAAGGCAGTGTCCAGGCAAATCTGGACCCTTTGGTTTTTTGCGTGGAAACTGATGAGGAGCCACTGACTAAACCACTGCCCGAGTTGCAGCGCACGGGATTCACTTATGCCAGAGAAATCGGCGTCCGAATCGGTCGTCCCCGCGCCGTGACCGTAACACTTTAACAGTCTAAACGCACATCACGGTCCCGGCGCGAAACTATGAGGACAGGGTGTAGCGCGGAAACTCGTTGAGAGGGTACGAAATAGCACGGAAAATGAAGATATCTCAAATGTAATCAACGAAAACACCATGAACAACGCGGAAAAGGCAGCCGAGAGAAGCCGCCGCAATAAACATGGAAAACAAGGGCAATTCACGAAAAGCAGAAGAATTAGGAAATTTGCAGTATTTGTGCAACGAGTTTGCGCGCTACATCCTGTCCTCATGGTTTCGCGCCGGGACCGTGATGTGCGTTTAGGCTGTTGAAGTGGTACGGTCACGGCGCGGGGGCGACGGGCTCGGAGGCCGATTTCTCTGCCGTGAGTGAGTCTCGTGCGCTGCAATTCGGGCAGTGGTTTAGTCAGTGGTCCCCCATCAGTTTTCATGCAAAAAACGAAAGGGTCCAGATTTGCCTGGACACTGCCTTTAAAAAACACTTGTTATTACTAGTTCATCCAATCCATCTACCCCTCATAGGTTGTTACGGATATTCTACATTAATGTCGTTGATGTATTTTGAGCTTGAGATATTTGTTCGCAGTTCTCGATCGTCATGTACGCTCAAAAAGTAATGAATGATTGGCCTTTTCTGGTAAATTTATCCCTTTATTGTGGCCCAAATGTGAAATGCTGGTTGACAAGCATTTATGAATGTTTTATGTTGGAATGAAACGTAAAAAACAGGAAATCATGGAGCCATAACCATTAGAAGTCTGATAAGACAATATAAGGTCCAAGTACAACAATTCCAAAAAGCAGGGATATACAATCGCAATATAGATCGCAAACCAAAGAAGTATGAAACAACCGATGGAACATCAAACGACTGAAATCCGAGCAAAACCAAGATGAGCACAGAACAAAAAGTAGTACCAACGGATAAGCATTGACACTACTGAAAATCCGAACTTTCCAAACCATCTTCTCTCATAGGAGGTATACAGAAACACATATACATTTCAAAGAGGAGGTCATAATAACATGGATGTAGGTGCGATGTATGCGAAGGATTTGCAGAGGACCTCCAAATCCAGTCTTATTGTCACATCCTTTAGGATGGTCACTGGTCAAGAGCTTACCAAAACTCGAGCTACGAGATTGACGATATTGCAAGGTCGCCCTAAACAGACGAACTATCGGTTTAACCAAACAAAAATAAATCAAAATTTTACCTTAATCATGCTTTGAATACCAACAAAGAAGTCTCGAAGTGGTGAAGTAGAAGTTTACGAGGCGATCCGCTGGCAGCAGACGCGCAGCACTCAGTCAGAGAGTAAAGGGAAGCTAAATTTGTACCATAACAAAAAAGATGTAAAATAGTTACATTGTATTCATAGTAATATTGTTTTATGATGATTCTTCCGGGCATACATATGAAGAGTCGCAAAACTTAGCAAATACACAATGTTATTAAGTGAATGAAGGACATGATGATTAGAAATCGATTACTGCTTGCATGCAGCTACAATCGACCGCTAACCATGACGAATGCTCTCAATACCCAACTTATAATAACAATTTCTAGCACTCACATTGCTCCAAAAAATGTTCTATGGCGGCTGCATGTCGATGAGCGTGCGAAAATTCGTGCGTGTTCCAAATCCTTTCAAAAGCTCGTCGTTCACTGCGACCAACTGGTGGCATATCTAGAAACATTATGTAGACAGACAAAATAACAACAAAGGAATATAAATAATTATAAATAGTACCGTGCACTGCAGAATTTTACGTGGATGAGTCTCGTCCAAACAATCTGCGTGCAATCTACACGACAGTTTTGATCGTTCAGAATCTATGGCAAGTTTAGCCATAGAGCTTCCTTTTCAACTATGCCAGCATCCATGACCAAGCATTGTGGAGGTAGAAGCTCCCCTCCTAAAAAAGGAGATATTGGTGGAAAAAATTGAAACAAACACATAAAAATGTATTTTCTAGCCTAAGCCATTTGATCGCTCGCATTACCTAGCAAAGTTACCTTTTGTTTTGCTGAAAACTGATATTTATGTTGAGCAAAAGCCGCCTCTATGTTTATAAGGTGGACAGTATTCATTAATCAAGAGTCTCCCCAAAATACAAACAAGAGGGTTGCTGAAAAGGTCAAATCCTGCATGTACACGCATTCCAGCATGAAACCACAAGTAGTGTGTTAAATTGTGAGGGATGGCTCAAGCTTTTGCCACTTCATCCAGCATCTGACATTGGTCAGATTCAGATATAATACGATAGCGAGGCTCCTATAGAAGTGACTGCCCAAGTCCCGCTGCAGATGGGGCATTCCGACGCAAGGGAACTGCTCCAAAAGTTGGATGCCTCTGAGGTCCCCACGCCCATCAACGTGGGTGGCAAAAGATAATCGGCTTGAGACTGGACTACAGGGTAACTAGAAAAGGCGAAATCTCGACTTTCCCAGGTACTATTGAGTCTGGTCTCAGGCTCATTCCTGAGAAAAACCATCCGCTGACGGGCGTGGCGACCCCAGCAGCATCAACCTTCTGTTCTTCGAAATTCGGAGTACAACTTCTCCAGCGCGAGTGACAAATACTTGTGTCGGCTACAGAATCATAATCTCGCCCGTGGATTAGGGTGAACGGTGCCTTTGATAGTAGTGCAGTGAGGGCATTTTCTACAGTTTGGTACATTGTATACGTATAGCTGCTTCGTTGGCCGCACGGACTGCACATCACTGCGGAGAACGCGCTGCTAGTTTAAAGCTTGACTCAGTACAAATTCGCCATTATACAACTCGTGCTCTCGCAAGAATTCAGCCGCGCCGCACGTGGTCCGCTGCGCTTGAGCAGTCCGTGTGGTCAACGAACCGACGATATGTCTCAGAGATTCTCCTGTATGCACAAATAAGGTATAAAACAAACCAAACGTACCTGCTCTTAAACGATTACACCGCAAAGTCGCCGTATTTCCTTGAACACTTCAAGCCTATCTCTATCTCCATCCATATGCAAGGAGGCAGTTTTGAACGAGTGAAACTCATCCTAAAAAACATCAAATAGTAGACAAACAAGAAATGTGCTCTATGGTGGACACCAGGTATGCAGTGATATGACTCATAGACGTAAGGTGAGCATCAGCTTGCTCCATTAGCGCTTCGGACTCATAGCATATAGGACAAGCCCACCAATGCTGCATGGTGAAGGAAAAGTGAGGTTCGTGGATTCCAGACCTTGATTATCATTCCATATTTATACAACTTCACGCTTCGAAATGAATTTACGGACAACTCGTTCACCGCTAGCAGTGTATCTTTTGAGTAGTACAGATAGACCACTGAATGGTCCAAATTTTGGAATTTCCTTGACAAAAAACTCATACACAAGAAGTTTCTGAAATATGCAAACAATTGCCTTGATCAAACGTTTGGAACTATTTTACCTTTTCATGTTTTGTTTGACTCTCATGTCTATCTTTGTCTTCGTGAGATAGACAGCAAACCTGGCAGATCTAGAGACATACTTTACACATTACTTCAAAATTGTCAAAAAACCGGTGCGTTTTTGGTTAAATATCCATCTCCTCTAAAAGTTAATGATATGTTCATAATCCATGCGCTAGTACCCCGATACAAACCGGTACCATCGGATGAAACGTCTTGCGAATTACAGCCATTACAGGAAGATGAAGGCACAAAAAGGGATTGCGTTGCTAACAGATTTTTATAATGCGTAAATGCTGGATGATCAAACATAACTCCATATATAATGGAACTTACGCGTTTCATTTACAGCATTCGATTGAAAAAATCGCTTTATGGAAATGAGTTCCGCTTTTTTGACAACTCCAAAAAGAAGTATACGAATTTGACATGGGAACTCCAAAACGAAATTCTACTAGATTGTTAGGCCCAACACCGCATCGCCTGACGAAAACACAGATGATTTCTTACTTCGCTGTTCGGCATGCATATAAATCCAAGCAATGATACCAAAAAAAGGACATGAGAGTTATCCTAGCCACGTGCAAGAATTTTCTCCACAACTTAGTGTGTCGTAATGAGCGAGCGTACCGCTATTCACACTCAAAAACGCTGCCAGCGAATAAGATCGGCATAGTGACGCAAAACTTCCCGTATATGCGACTTAAAAGTCCGAGACAGTTATGCAAACTATGAAGATCAAGTGGAACGATACGGTTATATTTGATATCGATGAAGGTCTAACAAAATGTGTACTAACCACATATAAGGCGATTAATGAAAAACAGCGGAAGAAATTTGGACCCGAATACAATGTGCAACAAACCTTTGCCGAATCCGCTGTGGGGGAATGCTGACGAGGATCCGTTCCATTTGCAATTAAATCTTCCCGTTTCGCAGCGTCTAAAGTCGGCTACTCAGTATCCACATTTGTAGTGTTGCATCAACAACTGGTGCTACTTGGGCAAATGATGCATTATCTTCCTTTACCTAAGTACGATGTTTATGAGAGCATGAAAATACAGTGAAAATACAATTAATAAGCAAATACAATTAAATGCAATACAACTGAAACAAAGGGCGGAGCATAAGTGGAAAGATGACATCGTAGTACGTCTTGAAACTGGAGAAATTAGCACCAATTTCAGCACCAACTCATCGTGCAAAATTTTCAGCTAGGAGTTTACAAATTGATAGAAAAACGCTAGAGAACCAAAAGTACGGGCGGCACAAGAAAACATGAAGAAATTCGACGCGAACTGAGGCATTACACTCAAAATACTGCGAGAAATGGGTCTACGGCGTCACTTCGCGTTGGCGCCAACACGGTCACTCGCTATGCGCCAGTCCGGGTTCCCTGGCTCACACGGACACCGCACATCGTGTAATTACACGATCTTGCGCACTCATTCATACATCGCGTGCGCCTCGGCAGATCGTGTGCTGGTTCAAGATCGTATAATTGCCAGATCTTGAACCAGCACACGATCCTGAGATTGATACATAGCACCCCAGTAATGAATGCTGTAATTGCTGTCGTCATCTGCAAAGCGCTATCTCGATAGATTCAAACGTCTAACCATTTTAACACATCATCTGATATATGACATCGCAGCACTATAACGGTCAAGCGGTGCGGCGCAGCTTTCGTGTGCTCATTTATGGCTCAGAGAAAACAAATTTGAATCCTGTTACAAACAAACTGTTTACACACAATGCTTTCCAAGTAAGCATTTGCAGATGCGGATATTAAACTTGGAAACACCTTTCAAACAGTGTTGCCCCGGTCAGCTTTTCTTAAAGGCAGTGTCCCGGCAGATTCGTGCCCTGGGAGATATTGCTATGGCGGGGTTCCTGGTCATCCCACTGACCCTCCAGGCGCAGTCGGGCTGGTTGATGTTCCCCCTGCGCCGAGAAAATAGCCCTTGAACCGGCGCGCGCAATCCCAAACGGCGCGCGCTCGAACGACTTCGCTTACCGTTCGGCGCGGGACCCCACGATGGCTCTCCTGCATTGTGCATGCTATGCAGAGCAAAAATTGGAGGCAGCAGGGTCTTCGTGCCAGGGCCTCTCGAATTTCCAATGAAATTCTCGTCCGAGCTGCCTATTCGAAATTGACTAAACTCCCCGAAAAAGGCCTTTTCATCCGTTTCAAAGCTCAGATTGGGGATCTACGGGTCGAAATGGCCCAAAACGTGCAGAAAATGGAAATGCAAAATCTGCCGGGACGCTGCCTTTAAGTACCATCGCTAAGGCATATTTGCTTTACCTCCTCGTCTCTATGAAGCAGTATGTTAGTTTACGCATTGGAGCACAGGGAGGTGAGACACACTTTAAAGTTCATCTCCGAACAAAACTCATGCAAGTGTAAGCATTTACCACTTTTTGCTGGTTCTCATCAGTACTTATATTGAAGCGCGTGTGTCTGTTTGTCTGTGTATGTACGTTTATGTTTGTTTCTCACAAAATTCACAAAGCAGACTTAGGCAAGTTCTTTAGCTGAAATTTGACCCTTGCACCCTATCAGCATGTAGGTAAATAGTGCAAAAGCACAAGCTGATCTGTCTATTGGAATCTTCAAAAACTGCACCTCAAACGGGTCCACGCGACTTTTGGCCAACCAATGTGGGTCGGGGATTGTACCTCTTGTAAAGTTGCGGATTTGCTTAACAAGTATATGTGCAGATTAAGACTTAACAAAAAATGAGCAAAACATCTATTTTTATCCAAAGTAGCGCCAGGAAGGAGTAATTGCGTAGATCATCAAATTGTCAAGGTTTCGTCGAGAATGTGGGTGACGGAAGTAACTGTCCTTTGCGGAAAGTAGTTTCTCACAAAATTCACAAAGCAGACTTAGGCAAGTTCTTTAGCTGAAATTTGGCCCTTGCACCCTATCAGCATGTAGGTAAATAGTGCAAAAGCACAAGCTGATCTGTCTATTGGAATCTTCAAAAACTGCACCTCAAACGGGTCCACGCGACTTTTGGCCAACCAATGTGGGTCGGGGATTGTACCTTTTGTAAAGTTGCAGATTTGCTTAACAAGTATATGTGCAGATTAAGACTTAACAAAAAATGAGCAAAACATCTATTTTTATCCAAAGTAGCGCCAGGAAGGAGTAATTGCGTAGATCATCAAATTGTCAAGGTTTCGTCGAGAATTTGGGTGACGGAAGTAACTGTCCTTTGCGGAAAGTATCCGATCATAACAGTTTTAGTAACTAACCGAAATTCTCTTTTGATTTTCTGCACAAAAATTCTCTCTTCCCAATTTACGTTCCTGCATGTAAAAGCTTACGGAATGACTAGCTGTTTGCGGTCAGCATCGCATAGTGAGTTTCAGACTCAACATCATGAGAGCAAGAGGACGGCATATATGTAGGGAAGCCAGTGCAGCCTCTGCGAAGCAGAGATGAAGCACTGGTATATCATAAACGGTACCTGTGGAAAGCTGGCTGAGGCACCCACGGCACACCCTCAACGCCAAGTTTCAAATGGGCTCTTCTAATACTACTCTTTTCGTTTAAAGCAGTACAAAAGGATACAGCACTCGTTTCGGCAAAAGCAGCTAACAGGGGCTGTGCTAATGACAGTCAAATCATGCTTCAAAGTATGGCCCGTAGTAAACCCCCTCTCAGCGCAACTCGGCTGGGGGCGGGCCTACGTTGAACGTGGAACGCCTCAGTCCGGCATCCGGTGAGCCATCGATCCGTTTGGATCGCTTTCTTGACCTAGAAATCTTGTGCATTCTCAAAAACAAAGTCCTTGAGCGGTTTGGTCGAATGGCTAAGTGAATGAATTTCAACACGAAAGTCCATGGTTCAAAGTCGGTTAGTGGCACATTTTTGCGCCACCGCGAAACAATCTTTGATAGCAGCCGTTATTGAGAAATGGATGGCGACCGCTATCAAGGATATCGCCAAGCAAACAAGTGGATAAAACACAATCATATTTTGACGAAGAATCACGAAAGAATGAAAATGTTGGAGCATAAAACAAATGAAGCAAATCAAAAAATCTTTGTTCGAAGCATTTTTTGAAAAGAAACGTAAGCGAGCCCTGAAAAAAGAAGAAATCCTGCTTTTTGCTTTTTTCTCCGCTATCAGCTGTTCATTGATGCTCTCCCATTTGGGCCGCCGAAATTGTGCAATTTTTGTCCCGCAGTAGTACGTCAGCTGAATTCTCCCGAAGTTACTCACGAGCAACTTAAAGGAAATTTGTCTGCTCCTCCTCTTAAGTACACTCTCTCTCTCGGGTCACCTGAAAATTCAATCTCGAATAAGTGGCATTCTGGTGAACTGACTGTGACACTTGACCGGAAATCTTCTGACTGTTGAACTGACTATCCTAAAGCACGAAAAGGTGGACGGGATTAGGGTCACCCGAGGAAGCTCTTCTGAATGACTAATCTCAAGTCACCTGAGATGAATGGGGGTTTACTACGGGCCTATATGAGGGAGCTAAGTAGAAGTTTGATGCCAGCGAACGTAAACTGTTAATCAGGTAAACCGTAGTAGTGGTCTTTCCGATAATCATAAAAACTCTGAAGTTTACAGAACTTATAAAGTTGTTTGTTAAGCCCACAAACCTAGGTTTTGTGGGCACTCTAGATTTTGTAGACATGAAGGAGTTTTTTGTGTGTACAGTATTTGATGCGAAATCGCGAAATGTACGTAACACAAAGGTTGTTCGTTTTGATATAATGGTTGGTATTGTTCTTCTTCTTTGACTGTTACGACTAATAATCTGAGCGCTATCTCTTCTTGTTTTTCTTCCACTCTTGCAATTCACCTTATCGTGTTTTGATCCTGATAAACCATTTCATACTTACGGCTGTCTGCTGAGAAAGTGTTTTGCAAAACCATCATCGTTTATTCAAACTTTATAGCAATAACTCTAGGTGTTCTGGAATTATGTGATATACTCTGGGGAACTAGCTAAGGTACCCGGCTTCGCTCTGTCACTTTCGATGCGACATGATAGAACTTACCATTCAATTTCACTTCTAAACAACATTTCCGCCCTTTCCTTACTGCTGGTGAAGCAAATTTTGTGCAGCGTACACCGCACAGTCTCGCCCAATCCTCTACATGCCAGCTTCTTATCCCTTTGATTTCTTAATTAACTCACTTACCCCCGCCCTTTGCCAAGTCCAGCCCGTAAGTCGAAGTCTCCAAAGAATTGACGAAATCCTTCTCGATCGCTAACAAAAATTAGCTGATGACAAGCCTATGACAACACACTGCTCCCCCTCCCTCTAAGTGCATGTGTGAAAAGCTTGGTCTGCAGCGGTTAAGAAGTGAAAATCTCATTTCGCAGTTATGTGCAGACTGACAGATAGACAGACATTCAATTTTATAATTTTATATGTTGACATCCCCGATCCCGCCCGAGTTATGATGTTAGTTGCCCGCGCAAAGAACGAAAAGCGATGTTTCACAAAAAGGAATGCGCTTACTTTCGCTTTCCCCAGTGACTGTATCCCTCCTGCACAGTATGTTAGCTTACCTAGCCCTTCGTTGCTCCATGGCATCGGCTGCGAGCGCTTCAGCACTAGCATAGCATCACTGTTCACGATTCTGCCCAGTGAAGTCGAATGCTGCTATTTACTGTTCCCACACTGGAAAATAGGATTTCTATTGCAAAGCACTGAAATAATCATCATAACTTATAATAAAACGCTAAACGTCTGTCTTTGTGTGTGTGTGTGTGTAGTGTGTGTGTGGTGTGTGCGTAGTGTGTGTGTGGTGTGTGTGTGTGTGTGTGTGTGTGTGTGTGGTGTGTGTGTGTGTGTGTGTGTGTGTGTGTGTGTGTGTGTGTGTGTGTGTGTGTGTGTGTGTGTGTGTGTGGTGTGTGTGTGTGTGTCACGAAATTCATTAAGGGCTGCACCGAGCTATCAAGTTATAATTTTACATAACATAACGCAGCCCAGTAATCCATTCAAATTCGCATGCTCTTTGCGGAAAAATTTTCTTTCGCAATTACCGATTCGCATAGAGATGCGTCATGAATGAACAGTTGTTTACAACTTGTTTGTAATGTTCAGCATCGCGCGGTGAGTTTCAAAGTCACCATTATGCGAGCAGGAGAAAGGCATAGGAATAGGAGGGCCAGTGCGAACCTTCACGAAGCGGAGGTGACGCATTGATGAATCAACCAGGCTCAAGGAATTGCGGGTAGAACAACGAACGCCACCAGTTTGAGCCGCCTTTCGCGGGCACTGGTCCTTTTGCAGTTGCCATGTCGTTCCCGAACTAGTAGTTTACGGAGGCGGCTTAAACTGGCCTTTTTTTCCTACCCAGGAATTGCCGAAAAGTACTTCGTAATCTGCGCAGGGATCGAAGACGTGTGTGTGCAAAGTTCCGCTCGATCGGTTCAGGCATGGGCGTTGTTTTCGTAAGGCCCCAAGCAGACTTTACGCGATTTGATCGTCGCGACTGAATCGCGACGAGACAACTGTTACAACATCATTCCATGCCGATCAACTTGCATTCGGTTGTGATACTTTTCCAGACCAAAATTTTTGGATGTGAGATGAAAATGAATGAAAATCTTGGCGATTAGATCGCGACGATTAAGTTGCGTGAAGTCTGACCGGGGCCTAAGAGAATGATCCGGTAGCTGTCGGGCAAAAATGGCTTTTTTGGTGTGGTGTAAATGTTTGGATGCAACTTTGATCAGCTTACGCGTATCCAAAAATTTCGGCGCGGAGAGCTTTCTCAATATCACCAAGCGCAAAACATCTCATATGATAAAAATGCGCTTTATTCTTCTTTGTAGCGTCCCCCTTGACAAGCTACTTTTACATGTATCATATTCCCAAACACATGTTTATCAACACTCATAGCGATCTCGTTCAAAAGATCCCCTGATTTTCGTATGTTTTCTTCTCAAAAAGTTTGTCTTGCAAAGCTTTAAAACCAAAGTCAATAGGCCTATTCGAAAAAGAAGAGCAGTTTTTGAAGATACTGAAAGTAAGAGCAGAACTGGTTCTTTTGAATAATGCAGGTATTTTGCCATAAACGGACCTCATCGTCAAAAGAACGTCATAAAAGCGCCAGAACTAATGAAACGACCAAATGGAATGCTGTTGGGTTTAGCAAAAGAGTAATGTGCTCTGCGAGGTATATTATATCTTGTGCATCACTCCATTTTAGTTGCGATTCTATATACATCAATACAGTTAATGAAGTAAGAAGTAGATTGCTGTCATTTAGTATTACCAAGTTGTGCTGTCGAAGAGCTTTTTCTTTTGCATCAACTCCTAGTTCATGCAGTTCGGCTAATTTATGAAATCTATCAGACCGACTCTTTATAATGAAGAATTCTTAATTCAAAGGGCCGAAAGCTCTATTGTATCTGTTGAATTCACAGAAAACACCTTCACTTTTAGTTTGTCTCTGACCGTGGCTGGGAAGAAGTGGTGCATCACGCCATTGTTCTATAAAAAAGTCTTCATATACTGTCTTGCGATTTTGCATAACATCAAGCTCCGCAATGTTTCTTGAGTGCGTGGAATATCTTCTTTTCTTAATCTTCCTCTTTCTCTATTGCCCTTGAAATGTGTTACTTTTCGTGGCTCATTTCTTATTCTCCCACCTGCAATTGTGCCAAAGTTCTTTCTACAGGGTGTCTCATTATCTGTCCACTTATTGATGGTTAATATGGGAATAGAGAGAGTGCTCGCTAGATCATCTACTTTTATGTTTAGCAACTGTTTCGACGTGGGAGCTATGCTGTATGCCTGACTTGATCTGTCGCTCTATTGAAAGTAGCAAACTGCCTACTAATGTCATAATTTTCAATTTATCCTTTTCAAAAGGTTTGAAAGAAAAGAAAGTTAAGAGAGAAAAACATCGTGTTGTAAATAACTGTTCATAGTAATCTCGGCCAGTTCCTAAAAGATTCGCGGGATTTTCGATAAATCGGTCTTGAACCTGATTCTATTCAAAAATCGTGAAAGATTTTTCTTGTTTTTTGCTGCCATGTTTCGAACCATCAATCAACAATTTTTTCTTGGGGTGTTGTGCAATATCAAACACATCAATAGAAAGAAATTTCCAGAATCTATCTACGGAAGACATCAAAACTCAACTTTTTTATTCACCAGATAGTCAGTATGCAACAATCTAAAATAAGATATTACAAGCATGAGCATATCTCCGTGAGCGATAAAAATAAGACCACTATCCAGTACGATTAGTGCTGATTTGTAAACAACTAGATCGGTTCATAATTGTACGAACACCCCATATTTTACAGTTTCCCGAAGTTCGGAAAAATGCAAGACACTATTGTTACCATATGAAAGAGAGTAGCCGAAAACAGTATACGCGCCACAAAAATGAAAATCAGTGTTAGTCTTGGACAAGTATTGTGCGCCAAACATTTTTTTGACCGGTTTATAATCATACGAACACCTCAGTCAGAGCTCTTTTTTCGCAAAACGCTGCAACCTTTAGCGTTTAAACTTTCCTGTAAGGCCACGATCTCAAAGCTTGAGATATCTAGTGCGCGCTGGACCATACCTGCTTTCCTAAAATTTCAAACCTTTATCCGGCTCGTAAGGTCAAGGAATAAGGGGTTAATAAATATGCTGTGTAACGCTTAAAATATTGACGTAATCGTCTCAGTTGCGAGCCCAGTCCCAAACTAGATGGCACACTTTTGAACCTTAATCGACTTTTGCCATTCGCAATTTCCTGTGATGAGGCAAATGCATCGTTTTATCATAACATATCTGTGGTAGAGTTTTTAAATTCTCCGCAAAACCTGTTCTCAGTGTCCGAGCTAGAAAGCAAGAGAAAGCATGCTTGCGTTGTGTTGCTTATTCATTTTCATTGAATGCCGAGTGTGTTGGTGAATTAAGGTGATGTACGGTTGAATTTTTTGAACAAAATACAAAATCCTGTATCTCAATCAAAAGATTAAGTTTGCGTTGTGCTTACAACATCACAGGACTTGCAAATAGCAGAAGTCGACTTGTAAGGCTCAAAAGTGTGCTGCACCCTATAGTGAATTTGGGATTAGGCTCGCAACTGAGACGATTACATCAATATTTTTCAAGCGTTATACAGCATATCTATTGATCTTATTTTTTGACCTTATAAGCTTTATGAAGTTTGAAATCTTAGGAAAACAGGTATTTTTGGAGCCGACTTGGTCCGCAGTCAATTTTGAGCTATGAAAGTAGAGCAAGGCCAGTTTCTCAGAATTTATCAGATCTTGCGCGTACTCTAAGTATCGCAGGCTTTGAGATCGTGGCCTTACAGGGAAGTTCAAATGCTAAAGGCTACGCGTTATTTAAAAAAAGAGCTCTGATCGAGGTATTCGTATAATCATGAACCGATCAAAAAAATATTTGGCGCACAATGTTTGCTCAAGATTGACACCGATTTTCATTTCTGTGATGCGTATACTGTCTTCGGCTACGTTCTTTTATATGGTAACGACAATTTCTTGCATTTTTCCAAAAATTCGGGAACGGCAAGAATAGAGTGTTCGTATAATTATCAATCGATCACTATACAGTAATCGATTATTATTCAGAGAGATCTTATCTAGCTGTTTTTTTTTCAGGGCTGTGTCACATCCGTGGTAGGATTATGCGATACTCTGTAAAGGAGCTCAATATAAGCAAAAAATCATTTTTTTCAACAAGAAAAGCGCTTAAGCGCAATAGAGTTCTTTATTTTTTCCAACGAAATGGAACCCGGAAAACTTACACTTGCTCATCTCTTTTACTGAAATCCATTCCTGATTTGCGTTTTGCGGCCTTAAACAGTGACGTAGCACATGAAAGGCCCTAGACTTACACGATCATTCGCATACCGTTTCCGGCTCAATTTGTGGCAGGTCTGGAAGATGGAATCCTATGAGAAATTCGTAAAGCCAAGCACCAATTACGGCTCCAATCATAGGACCGACAATGGGGATCCAGAACCAGCGGTAGTCACGATAGCTTAAGATGTTAGTCAAGATAACGCTGCAATTACTGAATTGAATTAATACCTGAAAACTTCCCATCCGTAACCTGCACATAAAGTGAACAAACGAGGACCAAGGTCACGAGCAGGATTGATGGCATAGCCTACAAGACATTTGTTTTAGGAGGACAAATAGTAGGCAGGCATTTACCAGAATTGTGGCCAAATGCCATGCCGATGCCAACCAGTAAAAAACCTATGCAGCCTGGTTGGAGAAACTGTGGAATTCCGTTGCGCTTATCAACAATTGTGGCTACACCCATGCAGAGCATAACCGTACCAAAGATCTAAAAACGAAGTGTTTATCTTTGGAAAAACGCTTGTCTCAAACCTGATCAATCATCCCTCCGACTACGGTCAAGTAAGGTTTGGGATACGTGGAGAATATGCCCGCCGTTGCCATTGGTCCAGTTACTTGGCGTACTCCTTGGTCATAGTCGCTGATGCCTTCTAGATAGGGTATCTGTGCCTTCATAGAATCGCAGTTTATTAGAAAAAAAAATAGCTGGACAATTACACATAAGTAATTGACTGAACGTACCGTAATACATAACAAACACGCCTAGGGCTCCAACAAATCCACCAGCGATTTGCACAATTGAAAAAATCAGGAATCTGAATAGCATATTTTCATTGTCATTCAAAGAATTTCATGATTCTTACTTTGCAAAACTGATTTTTTTCTGAGTGAAAAGAAAAAAAGAGACAGCTGGGTTGAGGTGGGCACCTGGAACACATGATCTCATCTACATCAATAAGTAAAATTGGTAATGTTGCCAGAGTCAAACAAATGGTGTAGTACGACAACCAGGAACAACCATCCTACCTCGTGTTACCTCTTAATAAACTCTGCTCTTACAAAATCAATCCTTGAAGCACATTATTAAAGTGCATGACCGCGGTTATCAAAATCAAGCAAAGTGAAGAATACGCGACACTTGAAAAAAATTTCGTTGGAAAGGGAGGACGAAGGTCTCATCGATAAGGGAAGAAAATAGACCAGATCGTTATCCGCACAACTTTGCACTTTACTATTACAATGCCGAATGGATTGATACGCAATCGCGAACAATGCACAGAAGCGCAGCGACCTATGCTTGGGCAGTCCAACAAGTTTTGCATGTATTTGAGGCAATATTTTTTTTGAAAAAAAAATATTCTGAAACGAATCACTACTCTACCAGAGGAGGTTTGTCTCAATAACTTCGGGGTCGAAGGCGATACAACCATAAAATATACAGCAGTCTGAACTTTTTTTACTTTATGCCATACACAGTGTCATGTTTTTAAGAAAACTTGTGGTATAACAAGCACCTCGCGCAACAAGAACTACTATATTTTACTTAACTTTGATTACTTTGGATTAGCACAGAAGAAGGAATGTTAAAAACGTAAACAAAATCGAACGCAAGTAGAGTTACCCAGCTCCTATGTATTGTTTGATTTTTGAGATAGATTTTCTGTTTGGGAATGACAAAAGGTTAATTGAGTTCTGTTTTTAGTGTAAACTATCCAAAGTAAAAACTTCATGCTAATAAGAGTTTCCTATTTTCTTCCATTACATTATTGGTTACATTTTCTGTGCAGAAATCCCAACACGGTCCACAGATGGCGCGCCACACCTTATGTTTCCCTGACGATTACCCGATATACGGATTGCCATTTGTACAGCCAACCAAAGTCCGACACCCCAGGATATGGCTAAGGAAGTCCATTCGTCCGTTTGTCTGCGAGAGATTACAAATTGTGCAACAGTTGAATCACCCCAAAACTGCAAGTAATATGTTATGTTACACAATTAAACATACTTTAGCAGCGAGGTCTACTAACCAACAGAAAAGCTGTGCAGAAAAATTCTGCCAAAATCTCGCGAAATAATTGATTTTCTATGTGGAATTGCCTCCGAAGCCTTTCCATTAGGGTCTCTTCCTGAAATAAAGAGATTGACATTAGTGCTTTGAGATTTAACATTGATGAAAACCCAAATACAAAAATCACATCATTTTGTTGTGATTGTTGATATTACACAAAAACTTCATTCTTTGAATTTTCATCACATTTTACATCAATGAATCAAATTCTTTTCCTTGAAAACTGACCTTCAAAACTTCTGAAAAGCATTCATATTGAAACTGCTGAAGATGCAGTAGACAAAGAAATTATAACCTAGTATTAGTTATTAGATACTTGTATAAAAAAATTCTGCGACGTTTTCTATATAGCAATCATAAGTAAATTTATCTAAAAGAACTATGTAAATATCTAGAAAACTGCACTTACAAAGGCAAGCATTGCTTCAATATTCTCGCATCATGTTTCTTTCTAGTGGTGGCTATTTACATTCAGGACGATACCCATTCTTCCAATGTAAAAACATTCATCAGATAGGCCGCACGTAAATAAAATCGAAAAAAGCGATCTCTTAATCACTATTTTAAAGCCTGCACCCATGAAACATTTAAAAACGCCCATGTGGTTTTAGGGGGAAGAAAGGGGAGGGGGCGGAACGAGCTCCCGCAATCAACGCTTGCAGGCTTGGACTAGCCCACTATGTCTGCTTACCGTACTGCGTTCTCGTCAAAAAATTCTAACTTTGAAAATTATCATATTCTCAGTAAGCAATTTGGAATGAGAAGAGTTTATCAAAGCTTGATGTTAGTATTGATAATGTAGACATTTTTGAAGGCCACTACCTTGATCAGTATAATTGAGACAGCAAATAGATAATACTGTTTTCATATGCTCTTGTGATCAATATAATTATGTATTCACTTGGATTGCAAGCAACTTTCAAAGTTCCTAAGCATTCCACAAATCACATTTGATTTTGCTGGACCCTTTAGTTTTAAGACTACTTATACTGATCACGGGTTTCTCTATTCTGATTATTCAAAATTTTGAGGCTACGGGCTGGTGAACATGAAACCATATCTAATAAACACCGGATAAGATGGGACAAAAAGTGAATCAAAGAGGGGGTACGCACAGTAGACTGGGCGCCAAAAATATGGAATGAAACTTTCAAACGACGTTAATTCAAGTCTGCGCCAGCAATTGTTCTTTATGAGCGTCAACTGACGTTCTAAGTGAAATGTATAAGGCCTTCATTCAAATTCTACAACACATCGCACTTCGTTGCTTTCTCACGCGTATGATTAAAATTGAGGTGATACCGTTGCCTATGCTTGTGACACCATTCGGAAGAAGAAATCGTAAGGATTAAACTGTGTACCTTGTCCAATAAATTACAAAGTTTTTCACTCAATCTTCCATGCGCGTGCATATACCCGGTTCAGAGTCATGTCATTGCTTGTTCGCTGCAAAAAAAGTCGTTTACGATCTGAGATTCAAAGACTGATTTTTAATTTTTGCTACTCAACAGCCCGATGAAAATGCATTTGGTTATCGAAAAACAATCCTTTCTTTTGAGCTTCGTTACCTTCATTCTTCTCGAGTCAAATACATAAGAGCGGGATTTAGTTTATCATCGCACTCCTTTTTGGAACATCTTGCAAATCCCCAATTCATCCAAAATATATTTGTACATCAGACATCCTATGATAGTATACCCAAATGGCAAACTCCGCTCTGATGATCCCGGATTTTTCTCATACACGTAATCATGCACTCTACACATCAAAGGCATGAATGTATTTGCACTGTTATAGGTGCCCACGCTGTCAAGATGTATTAAGTATGATTGAAATAGAAACAAAATTATGGGAGAATCTGATACTTTAGACTTCCACAAAGTGGTTGGTTTTTCTCAATATGACAATTTTAATAAATGTTCCATTATGACAACAGAATACTTACTGAGAGATGTGGGAAGGACACTAAGGTTGACAGCGATAACGAACTAAATGTGAATTAGCTGAAGTGCCTCGATCTTGCGATTACAAGGCGCAATTGCTTACAGCTCGACCGCATCACTAAGCTTTGCGAAACGGTCGCTCCCACGCACAGTTTTAGGTAAGGTGCAGCAGCAGAGATTTCTCTAATCGCAAAATCTTTTGCCGTGGTTCAGGTCGTGTTATTAGAGAAAATTGGTGAGTCTTGTACTTACTATATAAGTTGTATATTCATCTGATCTATTTGCGATAATAGGAAAAGAAAGCAAAATAAAAAGGTGGAGGCAGCTACGGAATTACTAACTCACAAAACAGCTCGCTGTCTACTGAGTACAAAATAACACTTACATAGCAGAAAGTAATTAAAGAGTAGTTAGAAAGGTGAGCAGCCAAAGAAGAGATATTCTGGTTCGTGCACATTTTACGTAATGACGAGGAAATACTGGCAACAGGGTTCATTTTAAAAACTTCCTTATTTTCAAAGTTTCTGCTTGAACCATTTAACTGCAGTTAGTTACCCTAATTTCAAGCGTATAAGATGCGCTTTTTCGAATTTTCAAGCGAGCCGCTCGGCCGCTTCACTTTATTCCGGAAGGAAGTCCTTACATCGCACAAGCAATAGAGAGCACGTTATAGGGTGCTTTGGTTGTAAAGTCCTTTGGCGTGTCTGAACTGGTTGGTTAAAAAAAAATCCCCCGCGCCTTATAAGCGTGAAATTAGGGTAAGTTTCATACCACTTAAGAACAGTATAACAGATGAGATGTAGATGTTGAGTTGTAGATGACGGACTGAGAGATTGATAGCATAGGTTTCGTGGAACATATATTGTCCGCTTTCGATCGGTATCGACACCTCTTTTTTTAACCCATATAACAAAAATGTATAAAAACGTTTGTTTTGACGACAATTCACACTGCTGTTGTTCGACTAGAATGGTATAACACTACACGCCGATAAGACTCAGAAGCTGAATTTGCACGATATTTGAGTAATGTGAATATAAGATGACATTGCCAATAACAGGACAAAATAATAAATGTAGAGATTTCCAACGGCAGGGCATTTGTGCTAAGGATTTTAAAGCACAAATGATGTTTCTATCACTATTGCTTCGGATTTCGGACGTAGACTATTTCTTCAGCAAAATCTGGCTCTAAACTACTTTATTGAATTGCTGCAACTCACCTTGAGATTGGTTCGCGAAGCACCATGGTTTTCATCAGGTCGTTCGGGGCCCTTCTCACGTTCTTCACTGCGCCCCTGTACGTAAAGCTTGAAGACCCATAGATGCATGAAATGTGCTTACCATGTCCTAAGGATGAATGAACAAGATTAGGTTCTAGTAAGTTAGTAAATGAGGCACATTCTCTCCTTTCATTATTTCGTCTGAGATTGTTATCTTGTCATGTCTTATCGCAGTGCTTGTCATGCCTATCGCAACCGTCATAATAGACGGGTTGTCCACACGTGATTTCAAACTTTACAGACAGATTACTTTTTATTCGTTTTGTTTTGAAGTTTTTTTAATAAGGCATGTCGCATCTTTTATTCACCTCTTCTCTTCCACATGGAAGTTTCTCAAAAATTGAACTACGGCCAGATACTAACAATCACCTGTAATGATGCTTCTATCAAAGAAACGGCGCTCTCATCGACTTGTTCGGAGGTCAAGCGCGTGCTGTGTACCGTAGTAAGCGTCATCTGAATGAGCTAATGACTGGATTAAGGCAAATTTCAAAGAATACTCAACACGATAATCTCACTACTTGATAATATAAGTTTAGTAGGGATAAGTGTCACATGTTTTTTTGATTATTAGGTTGTCCCAAAAGTTCTTGCGCCGAATTTTCAAAAAATCATAGCTTCCTTGCCACTCGATGGATTTTCTTAATCTTAGCTTCTTTTGAAAGAGGAAACCTTTCTCTTTACATCAGTACCTTTGGTATTAGTTGGCATTTGAAAGTTCTAAATAGAGCTAGAGGCAATTGAATGAAATCAATCAAGATCGGCATTTTCAAGCTAAATCGGCGAAAAATTCTGAAAGTATTTTTATTTTACAGAGAAAATTTTGCACATTACAGTGGTACCTTTCTCATGAATGAAACGAAAAGGATCGAGATGTAGAAGCAAATGAAGAAAATGCCTTCAGCTTTGCAATTTTTGAGCATACTCAAAAAAGCCTGGAAATGTCACAGAAAATACGGGAGAGTCATGGACATGGGTTTTGTGACCTTCTCTTTTTAGCTGAGCAAGTTTCGGCTAATCGAGAGCAATTTTGATTTTCGTGAAAAACGCACTCTCGAGAACACGAAAAAGTCGCGAAAATCAAAATTGCTCTCGATTAGCCCGAAACTTGCTCAGCTAGAAAGAGAAGGTCACAAAACCCATGTCCATGAATCTCCCGTATTTTCTGTGACATTTCCAGGCTTTTTTGGGTATGCTCAAAAATTGAAACTGAGGGAATTTTCTTCATTTGCTTCTACCTCTCGATCCTTTTCGTTTCATTTATGGGAAAAGTACCACTGTAATGTGCAAAATTTTCTCTGTTAAATAAAAGTACTTCCAGAATTTTTCGCGATACAGCTTGAGAAATGCCGACTTTATTGATTTAATTCAATTGCCTCCAGCTCTAGAACTTTCAAATGCCAACTCATAACAAAGGTACTGCTGTAAAGAGAAAGGTTTCCTCTTTCAAATAAAGTTAAGATCGAGAAAATCCATCGAGTGGCAAGGAAATTAAGATTTTTGGAATATCCGGCGCAAGAATTTCTGGGACAACCCAATAGATCCCAATTGACGAGGATTTGAGACTAAATTGTTATGGCGAATGAATTCCTTTTCAGAAAAACAAACAACACAGAGAACTCGCATATAACGGCGAAACTGATTAATTTTTCTAGTGCTGTCATTGTGTTAGTAACATAAGTTGCGTCTATAGAAACAGATGTAGGTCAGAGTATGCAATATCGTTTGCATCAATAAGACAATTGCACAAATCGTCTGCTTCGCAGTAGACTGGACGCGCACTGGCGTTTCTGATGCGCAGCAACCAAGATCGCTTGCGGGTTACACTTAGCACTCGCGCGAATTAGTCATCACAGCGCCTACTTGGTAAACTGTGCCAGGTCCACTCGCGGAAGTAGCCAACGGCGATATGGGCAAATTCACACAGTCGGCTTTATCCTTTAGGGGTTCGGTCAAACCGTACCCCATATGCAGCGTACGCAGAATATATGAAAACACAGTAAAATGCAAACGAAAACACGTTCAGCTTGCTGAATGTCCAGTTCACAAAATGATATGGGCTATCTCTCACGTGACTCTAGGAGGAATGAAGCTGCCATACGCCCATTTGTGTGCCAATGTATGCAGCACACGCGGTGTACGCGGCTGTCAGGGTACAACTTCAAGTATGCCGTGCAGTCTGGGAATATCACCTTCATCAACCTTACAATGCCATAACAAATCAAACTTTCTGCAAAAAGAAGGAAAAGAAGAAAAAAAACTTTCTCCTCTCTCCTTAAAAACTGTCGACTAAGACAGAGTTTTTTGAGCTAGAACTACTCTATCTTAATCAACTTTTTATTGCAGTAAATGGCAGAGGAATAAGTATGTGTGACTCAAAGTCTCCAAAACATCGCCTTCGAACAATTATCGAAGTGCACGTTTTGACGTTTTGCTTGCCACCTTATCTTCGTTTTAGTGCCTTCATTGCGTTCTTAAAGGCAGTGTCCGGGCAAAAACTCGATTTTGAGGTTTTGTGCTCACCCGGGCCTATTCGCCATGCTGAACTCGAAAATCCACATTGGAAAGCGCGAAAATGCCGAAAAAGGGCTCTAACGCAGGAGGGAAATCAGAAGTGGGCGGAGTCCTCCCCACCGTGAATTCCGCGGTCCCAGCTTTTGAAGCGATTTTCTCAATTCCGTTAGCGCCCTGAGATCTCCACAGGCCAAGTGCAAATGCATGGCTTGAAATCGGGACCAAGATGATCGCTCCGGAAGCTTGGAGCGTGAATCCGCAGTGGGGAAGACCCCGCCCACTTCTGATTTCTCTCATGCATTAGAGCCCTTTTTCGCTGTTTTCGCGCTTTCCAATGTGGATTTTCGGATTCAGCATAGTGATTAGGACCGGGTAAGCACAAAATCTCAAAATCGACTTTTTGCCCGGACACTGCCTTTAAAGGCAGCACCTCGCCAAAACCGAACATCCCGAAATTTTGGCACCGAAGATTGCTTGCACCCCATTCATGAGAACAGAGCAAGTCAGAGCGCACAGCTTGCTGCCCTTGCCTAGAGACAGGGCTCGGCACGAGCTGGCACCAGGGAAATTTCAAAACGAAGTCCCGTACGATATTGAAAATTTCGTACGAAGTCCCTTTTGACCTGTTTTGAAAACCCGTCATCATTTTTATATTATGTAAAAAAGTAGCAGTGTTTTCATGCATTTCTGATTTCATGAAAGAACTTTTCACAGCTTTCTGAGCTTTTTAAGTGGTCGAATCACATCTTGAAAAGCAGAAAAAAGCCGATTTTTTAACTGCGGAGCGGACCGAGTGGTTTTCAAATTGCAATAAAACGCTGAAAAGAGGATATTATGAAACTTTTTCTTCTCCGTATGTAATCTTTTACAGTATAGATACATTTTATGTAAAAAATCTTTTACAGTATAGATACATTTTATGTAAAAAAGTATGAAAACTTATGTGAGCAAAGTGTCGGTGCCAGCTCAGCTGGCACCCAGCTGGCACGGTGCCAGCTAATTCAGAAAAAAGTTGGGCACAGCTTTCATTCACATAAGTTTTCATAAATTTTTGGCCCATAGTTCCGGTCCACCAACGCGCTTGCACACACCAAATTTGGTGTCATACTATTGCATTTTGGCTGAAAACAACGCCTTTGTTTGTTGATGGACAGCTTGCCAATGGCATGCCGGTGGCATGCCGGCGGCATTTTTGCGGCAGTTCCCCGCCTCAGCCCCTGTAGAAACGATAACCCCTTTGCTTTCCGCCCTAAAAACGATATCCAGCTTGACCCTGTGCTGAGCCCTGCCTAGAGAACCCGTTACGCGCAAGTCATTCTAATATGCGCGGACGAACTTGCGATTCTCCCTTACCCACAGCAAGAGACAGTACATTACTATCACGAAACTTCGCGAACTCATAACTCTTTTTAAGATGAAGCTAGAAGTCTGAATTTTTGCAGGCTTGCTACAATGCCTTACCATTGGCAATTTTTTGAGCCTCATCGCTTCACTCTATGCCCCGATTTTAAAATCCAGATTTTTTACGCTATGAATTCCCGGTTTTCGTAAAGCTCGTCTTCCAGAAAAGCTGCAGCGCTGAAAATTTATGAGCATTATTACTGTCAGGCAGTAACATTATACAATATGTTTCAGGCTGATTGGTTGAAACTCAAGTCTTTGAAAATCGGGTAAAACTCGCATTTGCAGCCAGGATGCCGAGGAGGCAAAGGTGCCATTCGATTCGTCGGCAAAATTTATCCCATCTATGTTCTTTTTTTCCTCCAAACTGAGTTTGAAAGCGCTATTTCCACAAGAAAGCGTAATTGGAGTTTTGGTACACAAGGCATGCTGCAATGTTATATTTGCGAGATTCCCGCAACGATTCTGCCTCTCTAACCATGGCGGGACGTGCTCCACTCGTCTAAACTCAGGATGGGAGGCGTTGGAAAATGGTTGTTTTTGCCATTTTCGCTTTCTTAGGTGGATTTTCGGAATCAGCGCCTCGAATTACCCAGGTAAGCAAAAAAAGCCAAAAATAGCCGCTGCCTTTAAGCTCTCAGTATTTCAGCTACTCTACTCCTTTAATCCGATAAATTTGTCACTTATCACTTACCACTTTCTGGTTATCGATCTTTAGCGATCGTTTATCACCATGTGATATATCACTATGTGTCATGAACAAAAATGTGCTCTTTATACTGTGTTCTGTATAAAGATTTCGTCGAAGTTCGTGCTCTAGCACGCTCTGTCCTTTTGCAGCCCATGGAGCTGTATAGCTAACTTTGATTTTGGAGAATGAGCATACAAAAATATCAACCGGCTTTCAGACATGCTTTGAACTGGCGCCATTTCCAAGACTTCAAAAGGCTAATTTTTTTCTGGATGACTCAGATAAAAAATTGACTTAACACATTGACGACCACGCAGAATTTTAGTTGTCTGCCTTCTGGGACCAAGGCCTTTTACTAATCAGTCCACTATTCTCAGCTATAATACGCATAATGCTATCTACAGTACACCTACAGTAGATTTAAAAGGCTGACAAAAAAGGTAGAGATCATCCCTAGATTCAGTACATAAGAGAGCTCATGGAGTGAATTTATACCAAGATAGTGATCATTTTAACAAAATTCAAGCCTTGACACACATGGTGTGTCAAGCGGTCCCACGCGGTAGTCATTGCTTGACACACCATGTGTGTCAAGCTGTCGTCAATGTGTTAAATGACTTAAATGGCATTTTTTCAAACGACTTAAATAGCATTTTGGAAAAAAAATTTCGTGTGGTGCAACCTCTTCTAATTGAATTGGCATTAAGCGTCGCACTTTTGAACAGTCCTTTTTTACGCCTAGGTCAACCCCGCAACTTGCACGTCACATCTCCCCCGCTTGACCCTTTTGAGCTTCATCAACTGCGCCAAAAGTGATAACGCTTTATTATTTGATGGAAAGCCTGAGCTTTGATTTTGCCTTTGTTGTTCACTACCTCCGTTTATCTGTATGTATTATTTTGACCTTCGAAGACCGGCCAACTTATAGTTGTACGCGGACGCAGCTGCACAGATTGTCGTGATGCCAACTTATAGAGAAGAATGAGAAGGCTTTTCGGTACTTTTCGCAAAACCTCTCATTCTCTCGAAACTGGCAATAGAGTGGACAAGCGTCCACCAACATCATTAGAAAAATTTTTCAGTTATATAGGAGTACTGCTATCAGTGTTCACAAATGTGCCTGCATAGCAGCATATCAAAAAAAAAACAGTTGTTTTTTTTGACCATCATTAACTCCTAAAAATCTTTCTAATCAACCCAATATGAAAACACTTGAGATTGTAGGGGCTTATCAACTGCAGTGTCAGGTGCACCAACATCTCCGCTCCCGCGCGGCAGCTTCGCCTAGACAATACGCCTCTTTCACGAACATGCTCTCTGATCACTTTCACATGGCGAGCATGGGAAAGGCGGAACCTCAATTGATTGGAAATGTTTAGAAAGCATGTTCGCGGAAGAGACACAGACTCCAGTGCGGAAGTGAAGATGCTGATGCACACCCGACACTGTAATTGATAAGCCATGTACACCTTCCTTTACTATTTGTGAAGAGAGATGGGCGCTATTTCACATCAGTTGATCGAAAAATAAAACTCTCCGGTTTGGCTAAAATTTCGTCTGGGAGGGTTAATCGCACGCTAAAATACTGCCGGTAATCCTGCCGTAACTCCACCCGATGGCACTACCAATAAATGCGATATTCACAATCAGTGTGCAAAATAACTCTCCTGAACGAGGTTCTACCGAAATCCGCGGCAACTTTTGAGTTAGCCAATGTGAAATAATACCGAGAGATCCTGGGAGCCTTAGATCTTAGGAATCATCCTTGTAACCAATATTTTGAGCACAGAATCTCAGCTTGCAGTCGCCTTTGCAAAACATTTTGTATTTTGAGGACAGCCTCTGACAAATGCCACTACTGCTTAGTTATTATGTGGTAGTACAAAATGCGCTTTTCAATATTAGCCCGAAAGGTGTGAGAGCGATAATGTTTGTTTAACTGCGGAGCATGAAATCGGTGCACTTTTGCTTCTTTTGCATAACAAAAGCGTCTGATTCTTTAGTTCTCATGTTTTCAAATGCTACACTCTTTCGCTATTGTAAAATGTTTCTTTTTAAGTGCGACAGCCATGACCCCATCTTCATCTCTTCGTGGTTCTATCGGGGCTATAGTTGCTGACGCCAATAATTTTGGCGCACCATGTATGTCAAATCGTACTATCAATGTGATAAGGTCTTCCAAGTTGAGGCACCTTACTTTCGTTGTCAAGAGGCGCGATTCCTATTGCTAGATGGGCAGCAAATAGCACATTTTTAGTGTTTTATGAAGTTCCAGATTTATTTGAAATTTCAAAAGAAACATATTAGAAAATCGCAGGAATTCTTCGATCTTATCATCTTTGAATCGAAAAACAAAATTGTTGAAGGTCAAAAACCCATGAAAATGCAGTTTATAGCAATTTTGTATTTATTTCGGTCAGTTTTCTAGCAGAAGTCGTCGGACTTATCACATGGTTACTTCAAGCAGCTAGTAAGCCGATGGACTTTGTGCGGCACTTTTTGAACACTCCCATAGCAAGAAACTGAAGTTTTAAGTTGGTGACAGCTAGAAAAACCGCGCCTCTTGACCGTCTCCCCTTTCGTACATTTTGCATTGAATTGCTCTGTTTGCCAAAACATTCAAAGCTGATGAAATAAGGATAACAACAGTGATGCATTTGTTTTACCTCGTTCGTCATAGACTGCTTTGAGTAAGCTGAGGACGTCCGTTTTTGCAACCCTAACGTTTTTGCAACCTGTAAGATTTCATTTTCAGCTAGCGGATGTTCTTTTGTAGTCAACTACTTCAACCAGAAAGTGCACTCCTATTGCTGAAGTTTGCAGAATGTGACATTTCTATGAGATTCACTTAACTTTCACTCCACTATGATGAGCTCCGCTCATAATAGAGGTGGCAAAATCTCAAATAGAGCACAGGGTATTGAAGGCACCGTCCACCCAAAATCTCGAATTTAATGTTTTTGTCGCCTTCAGGCCTTCTGAAAGCCCTGATTCCGAATATGAAGTCGAAAATTGGCGAAACTCCCAAAAATCCCTGTTTGGAGAACCCTTTGCAACAAGCGCAGGCGAGATAAAGCATGAAATTGTGGGTCAGAAGCAGTCTTTTGCGGCGAAGCGTGGGGGTTTGCCCAGTGTGGGGCCCACACTAGCCATCATAATCTCGCCAACTCCATTTTGGGTGGACGCTTTTAAGTGACAATGATTGAAAACTATATTGCAAGGCAGAGATTTTTGAGCTTTGCGTGAAATATGGCACTTATCGGCCACCTAATTCTCGTTATGAAAGCGCCCTAAGTCATGCTCAAAAAAATTCATTACTCAATTGCAACAATTTCATGATGTTGGTTAGATAGGGCGTTAGAGTTGACTAGGATGCATGAAAAGGCAGATTTAAATATGGATGAAACTTGCTTTCATCTGCGAAGTCAAATAACTTGAAAGGAGGCTTTACTTTAAGGGAGTGTATACAAATAAATTGCAATGGTTCAGTGTAAATGATAAATATAGCAGTACCTGCAATTTGCTAAGTAAGCAACGATTAGGAGGTACAACATACTAACAAAGAAAGGATACTTGGTGACCCCAGCCATGTGGAATGCTATATATACCATAAACTCAGGCAATCGCCGGGGGCAGGCGGGCACCGGAAAATGATTGCTGATCTCTCGCACCCCGCTCGCGGATTTTTGGAAAGCAGTCAGGACTTTTCGGAAGACCGCTTACTGAGTTCTCGATTCCTCAGAGATTCAGCAAATTATCTGCAAAAGATAAGAGCAAAAAAAATTCGACAGGCGGTCTCTCAAAAATCCGCTGACTCAGCAAGCGGTCTTCCGAAAAGTCCTGATTGCTTTGCAAGAAATCCGCGAGCGGGGTGCGAGAAATCAGCAATCTATTTTTCCGGTGCCCGCCTGCCCCCAGCGATTGTCTGAGAAGGGGCACCTTGGAACGCTGATTCTAAATCTGTGTTCGAAATCTGCGAAGCGATCATTTGAAGGCAGTTATGAACTTGTTTTCGTAAAAATTTGGGTACTTATAGGTAGTTAAAATTACCCAATTTGATCTATTTTATCGTTTGAAGCTCTTGAGGAAAATCTTGAAAGATGTAACGTTGTATTTATACCTATCAGAACCATACTCTGCATTTGGATAGCAAAGAAAATTTTCTTATCAATGATTTTCGCCCTCCGGAGTAGTGCAATTTGTTTTTGAAAAAATAATCGTAACTCCATTCAGGTTCTCGTTTTGCAGATATGGAAAACAGTATTCGAATCAGCATTAAAGCGTATTTTTGAATATACATACCATTATGAATGGTCCGGGTAACCAAGTATCGTTTCCTCTTAAGTGAAGTATTATAGTGCTTGAACGCTGTCAAGCTAGATATTGCAGTAAGAAGAATGAATATACACAATGTACAAGCGGTTAAATTGGACTGCAGAGCGTTGATCAACGGCTGATGACATAACAAATAAATCGATAAGGCGTTTCAACTTGGAAAAATTAGTTAGTAAAAATTAGAAATGTAGGAGGTGATTACATGAAGAAACAAATGTAGCTGAGCTGGCACGCACCTTGAATGGTAGCACTTAGACTAAAAAAGACATGGGCCATTTTTTCCAATATATAATAGTGTCAAATGATCGTTCTCGTTTTCATAGTTCAATCTACTCCACGTTTAAAATTCAGTTTAATATCGTAGCATTGCTTTTAGGGACAGGCGCTTGACATTGATAGCGTTTATAGAAACGTTAAATCATAAAATGGCTCTTACTCTGTTTATGAATCTGCTTTCAAATTCGCCAAACGCCCTGAGAAAGTTACGGGCTGCGCTGCCTACAAGGGAAAGATGGATCGAAGTGGCCCTCATGAATAAGCTCTATAGTAAAGGATAAAAGATGAAGGAGTCGTCGTCTTTAATACCCTCTGCGGCATGCGCCAAACGCAATTTACTTCCTCCTCGAAAAGGCTACTGAATGCGTGCGAGCCTATTACAGTGACTTGTGGAACCAGCCGATTATCAAGTCAGTGCCTTTATCTTCCCAGATTACTCTGGTGCCAATTCACCGGCCTAGAGGGTAGGGGGGGGGGGGCTTGGTTGGCCCAGTGCGGGGATTGACCTGGGTCCAATCCGGTCATAGCGGCGCCTCATACCACTACACTACCCATCTCCAGCTCTATACTAGGAACCCTTTTTAGTAAAGCAATCTTAAAACCACTGTAATTTCCGAACGGTTTTGTTAGGGTTTATGAGACCATTTTTCTCTCACGCAGCCGGCGCGACTACTAGTGAGCGAGGCTAAAACGATTAGGCGAGTGTGGCAGTGGTGCAGTGTCGAGGCAGCGCGCTGTGAAGCATATGGTTGATAGTTCGAACCCCAGTGATGGTATTTTACTTTGCAGTCTTGTAAAAGAATTCTACTGGGTGACAATAAACTAGGAGTACTCATTGCAACGCAGTTAAAACAAGCTATTTACTGCAAAAGGCCATCGACTTTTTATCCACTTCAATAGGTAATTGTAAAGCTCCTCCACAGAACCATACGACAAATAGCGAAAACAGTTTTGAGATTGTCTTACCAAAAGGGTTTCCTACTACATCATTCCAAAAAGCCACTTCGACCGATCGCTTTTCTCTTGTCAAATGGCAATGGTTCAGTAGTTTAACTTTTTAGTTTTGGCCTTAACTTCGTCCATTTAGCAAACAAGAAGTAAAAGTTTAGTTCAGCGCTTTACTACTTCAGCCAATGTACATCTCATTGACAAAGATCCAAAGTCGAATGCCTCCCTTTGGTAGCAATGCGATGTTAGTGGCACATTCCGCTCAAACATCCGCGGTTTTAGTTCCACACACTTGCGGTTCCGGAAGTGGGCCATCAATTTTGTGGTTACGAGTACCCATGTATCTGTTGACAAGCTAGTCCGCTTCTTTTTTGAGCACATTTAGCCGAGTACGTCCTAGCTCTACCGATTAAGCGGAGTTTCTGAACCAAAATTAGCCAACGATGAAACTGGTTTTCTGTAGTGCTAAGTTTTTGAGGGAGAAGGAAGGGAGATAGCATGGGAAATGCATATTTTGGATTGCCAAATTCAGCAAGTTGTAATAGGTCACATTTTGGCAATGTAGCTATGTCTAGCGTCAAGTGGCGAAAGAATCGGCGTAGAGGCCAGCTCAGCAATTGCTACAAACCCAAAAAGTCATATTAGCTACGCCACAGTACCGCGACGCTCCGTTGACACGTGAGTGGCTTTCGCAGGATCCAATACCAAACCGCTGAAATAACTTCTCAACTCAACTTGCCGAACCTGTGTAGCAGTATTTGATTCAAATTTCATGAATGAACATGCATAGAAAGTCAGAAGTACCACTCTATCACTGATTATATATTGTAACATCAAGCACATTGTAATAATTACTATCAACGATGTTGCGCTATGATTTGATCTTTCATTGACATCGTAAGAAAGCCTATTTGAATTTCGATTTTAGGCTCCAGTCTGGCTGTATAGACTTATCAAGGTAAGGGTAAGAGCGAATTTAGGCTGGCCAATTACTCTCCATGCCAGCGCCTTCAAATTATCTGGACTGAGCACACTGAGAGAGCTTGGAAGGTATCGGATCGATAAAACTGATAAGATACATGCTTTATTAAAGCTGTTCCCAGGTGATTGTTCATTAATACACAAATCAGTCGTGACTAGAGTGCTATCGAAGACCTATAATTGGCTAAACTCGCAGATCAACAAGAAAAGCAACTACCAGTATACTTGCTACTAGTTAGTTGCGATAAAAAAAATAACAATGCTTTTACGGAACAACGCTTAAGCGTCGCTTAATTTTAGCTTGGGCACAAACAGTATCCAATAGCGGTGTTCACATAGAGAAGATGATTATCGTTGCGATTATTATGTATGCATGCACATCGATCGTTATCGATTGCGGCGGAATTTACATATGTCGATATTGCGTAGGAGCCTCTGACGTTTTGTTAGTGGGTTTTGACGGTACTTCACTGATACTAAAAGCGGCAAGGCGGTTGCAAATTGGGTCTAAACCAAAAGAAATACTTACGGTTTCTTTTCCATAATATGGATCTCCCGGAGTTGATCTTCTGGGTTGCGATCGTTAAGAATCTGCAATTTTGATCGTAATTCTGGCATATCAAAAGAAAAATAGTAAATACCAATGGAATAAAGCAAGACTGTGATGTTGTTTAGCCACAAAAACATTTAATACTACTTGTATTTACACAGCAATCCTTTACCCATTCTTCTCCTTTCTGCCAAAGCAACTGCACACTGTCGAGCGAATTTTTCTATTTGAATCCGTATAGAAATTGTAACTCATGCTTCATTAGCCCTAGGGGATTCTTAGTGAGCAAAAACTGAATACATACCTTTTGAGCATATTTGTCTTCTGAATCTTCAGGCAGGTGGAATCCAATAAAGAAGTGATATGCCCAAGCTCCCAATAGACCGCCGAGCATCGGGCAAAATATGGGAATCCAAAACCATTTATAATTACGGTAGCTAAAAGTGCTTTTATTTAACAATCAGAAAAGTACAGCGTATAAATTTTTCGGCTTTTCAGCTATATAACGTAGAGGTAAGATAAAAATGCACTGATCTTTTTCAGTATGCCGAATTAACTATTGATATCTGAAACTCTTTGAGACACTGCTTCGCTGATTTGCCAATAATCACTGCGCCCATTTTGGGATAAGCACCGGATCTTTCATATGTGGTGCATTCAGAATTAGTAAAAGGTAGATTGGTGTTACTGTCAGGCTAACAAAGACATGAGCCATTTTTTCCAATTCACAATAGTGCCAAATGATCGTTCATCGTTTTCATAGGCTTCAATGTACTCCACGTTTGATATTCAGTTTAATTTCATAGCACTGCTTTTAGGGACAGACACTTGACAATGACAACATTTATGGAGATGTTAAATCATAATGGCTCTTACTCTGTTTATAAATCTATTTTCGAATTCGCCAAACGCTCCCTAAAGTTACAGGCACGCGCATTAAAGAACTGCGGAAACACGCGCTGCTGTCTTGCATCAACGACGAGAAAGATTTGCTAGCCCAATAACTGCCAAGCCTTTCTAGAAGAGACTCAGATTTAAAAAGTTCAACATAAATATAATGGGAGAGCAGCGATTTTGTTTATGTACTCTGAAGCTTGCAGTTGCAGCAAACAGACATTTCACAGAATGAATCAGCTAAAAATATAGCTTGTTGAAGGATATATTACCCTATTTTCAGGTGTACAAGCCGCACCCTTTTTGTTCTAAACGCGATGTTCTGCGCATATGTTTCGCAAAACGGGCGCTTTCTCGCACAATGCTTTCACTTAACGCGCCCCATGGTAACAGCCAGTCTTTTGGCGTGTTCGCCTTTAGAGCGAAAAGGGTGCGGTTTATAACTTGAAAATAGGGTAGGTTGGCACTATGTTGCAACTTTTTATTTAACTTTTGTCTCTTTGAATGTAGCAATTCATTTTCTGGCATTATAAGGTTTATGACGTAAACTGCATGCGGACATTTTGCTGAATTTTGCCATCTTATGTAAGGGTTACGGTATGTTCACGGTACAACGTGAAAATTTTCAGGTATCAGATTTTGCTGAAACTTGGCCTATGGGATTATTCGACATGCTGATAGCAAACAGTTTAAGTTTTGAATAAAAAGGCCTCCTTCGTGAGGTCAAAAAGTGAATGTTATCTTATATCTTACTAGCTGGCTTACCCGGCTCCGCCGTATCCGGACCAAACTTGGCACACATACACTTCGGGCCCCGGCGGGTGTCACAGTCCACTTTTCGTTGTCGATCGATGTCGATTTTACCGATTTTTATCGATTTCTTTGGAGAGTTCACCTACAGGGCTAGGAGTTGGCACAGGGGGGAAGTGAGCATGGGGATTCCGAATACAATATTAGTTTTCAGAATTATCGATTACTTTTATTGATTTTATCGATTTTTTGTAAATTTTGACATGCGAGGCTGGGATTTTGCACAGGGGGTAATCGAGCATGCTGATTACGAACGCAATATTAGTTTTCAGGATCGTCCATTACTTTTATCGATTTTATCGATTTTTTTTGTAAAGTTTGACCTGCGGGGCTGGGAGTTTGCACAGAAGGGTAATCGAGCATGCAGATTACGAATACAATATTAGTTCTCAGAATTATCCATTACTTTTATCGATTTTATCGATTTTGAAAATTTGAGCTAGGGGGCTGGAATTTGGCACAGGGGTGTAATCGAGCATGCTGATCACCCCCCTTGGGGATGATCAGCATGCTCGATTACCCCCCTGTGCCAACTCCCAGCCCCCTAGCTCAAACTTTGCAAAAAAATCGATAAAATCGATAAAAGTAATCGATAATCCCGAAAACCAATATTGTATTCGAAATCCCCATGCTCGATTACCCCCCTGTGCCAACTCCCAGCCCCGTAGCTCAAACTTTGCAAAAAATCGATAAAATCGATAAAAGTAATCGATAATCCTGAAAACCAATATTGTATTCGGAATCCCCATGCTCGATTACCCCCCTGTGCCAACTCCCAGCCCCGTAGCTCAAACTTTCCAAAAAAATCGATAAAATCGATAAAAGTAATCGATAATCCTGAAAACCAATATTGTATTCGGAATACCCATGCTCGATTACCCCCCTGTGCCAACTCCCAGCCCCGTAGGTGAACTCAGCAAAAAAATCGATAAAAATCGATAAAATCGATATCGATCGATGACGAAAAGTAGCCTATGACACCTGCCGGGGCCCGTAGTGTATGTGTGCCAAGTTTGGTCCGGATCGGTTCAGAAATGGAATTTTCTATTCGGAACATACGTACAGACAGACAGACATACAGACAGACAGACAGACAGACATACAGACAGACAGACAGACAAACAGACATTCAGCTTTATATATAAGATATCTGTTATCAAATGAGTAGTAATGAGATAATCGTGTTCACCTATTGGGTTACCCTATCGCGCAAAGATTTAGTGATTTCTGAGGTTTCGCAGCTTAGTTATTGACAAATTGCCCTCGAAACTTGACGCACTTGAATTCTACTTCTCAAAGGCTCCTTATCTTAGATGGTACTTGAATTTCATTTCTTTTTGCCGATTCTAATGTGTCAACTTCTAGCTACATGCTGCCTATGATTCCTTTATGATATGTCTGATTCAGGTTTTGTACGGCTTCATGTTTGCCAAAAAACCGTGAAATCTCGATTTTCAGGGGTTTGGGAAAAAAAATTTTTTCTAACACGTTATCATAAATCAAACAGTTTGCGCAAGCTTGCAGCTTACGTCACACTCTACACGATGCCAAAAAATGAGAGTGCTAGAAGAAAGTTATGGGAAAAGTTGTAAAACTTATATGTCAACCCAATAGCCAAACAATCAAATTTGATAACTTTTTTGATTTTTTAGGGAATGATTGCGCAGCAATTTGAGAAGTGTTTTTCGTTTCTCCGTTACTGAACAGTTTGGGTATATCTCCAGTGTTGGAACTAAGCCCCTCATTTGCTTCATACTAAAAAACAGTGTTCGAGCAGATTTTGAACAGTTTTTCTTTATGAAGTGTCAGTATATGCCGTGTTGTGCCAAACCAGGTTTTTGGTGGATCTTTATTGGACCTGACGGACGACAGTCTCATCTTCTTCAGAGGTCTGAACGAAGATCATAGGTTTTTTCGAATCTGGACTTATACCGCCAAGAGTCTCCTCTCTCACTGAGCCAGTCTAGACCTACTCATAGGCTAGCTGGGTGACACTCAGTGACGTCCGTTACTGACTCTCTGTGCGGGCTTACTGAAATGCGGTGGATCCAAGGTCGGCTCGTTTCCAAACCTCGATGATTTCACGCTGCTAGCCTATGAGTAGGTCTAGACTGGTTCAGTGAGAGAGGAGGCTCTTGGCGGTATAAGTCCAGATTCGAAAAAAACCTATGATCTTCGTTCAGACCTCTGAAGAAGACGAGACTGTCGAAACCGTCAGGTCCAATAAAGATCCACCAAAAACCTGATTTGGCACAACATGGCATATATTGACACTTCACAAAATGCCCAGGTTTGAAGATAAGAGAGCATTTGATTTATTTAGTTTTTCTTTAGCTAGACCCTCATCAGTTGATAAAGTTCCCACTGTGCCCATCGAGCGAGAATCGAATATGTTATTGCAAAAGTTTGAATGGGCTTCAGCAGGGGAAGACAGGGCCAGCTAAACTGTGTTATATAGAGTCGTTATGGGACCTTGCGAGTGTATGTGTGTATAAGCTCCTGCAAGACGAAGGCGGTCGGTTTGAGGTACGACGTGGCTGTGACTCGGCTGTGACGCAGCCATGTCGCAGCCGCGTTGCGCATTGAATCGACCGCCTTCGTCTTGCAGGAGCTTATACACACTTCAACGCCGTTGGCCCGCCATGATGTGGTAATAAGTGCCCCAAGGCTACCACTATAGCGCAGGCGATCGCTACTAACTTTGTTTTATGCCATGTCATTCCATGGCCGAACGTCTGCTTTGGCGTAACACCAAATCTTAGAACCTCACTTTTGGGACACCAAAATATTGATGCGGCACAAAAAAGAAAAATTGCCCTTTTTGATTTGAGAGTTTAAGCTAAAAATATTTTCGAAATTCAAATGTGGATAGCATTCTGTACCAGCTCCTATAAACGATGCACACATTTCCAAAACACATTTTCAAAATGCCCGTCTCCTGCCTGTGTCGCTGGTTCGTAGGCCTTATTGTGGCCTGAGGCGATATAGCGCCTAGTTGGGAGTATTTGACTCCTGTGTTATACAGAACACATGTGTAGTAGATTTATGAACAACGACGTGCACGTATGAGTGCAGTAGTAGAATGCTGAGTATGATAGGCGTGTCAAAGTAACATCACAAACATCTGGGCAATAGCATACTTATATCACAGCAGGTCATGCTTATGGCATGACCTTTACGGTGCTCAGGCAGAAGTAATGATATGGTTGCAAGGAAGGTGCCGATTCCGGCCAGCGAGGAATGAATGAGAGACAGCGGAATGAGGAACACATAAACATACGCAATGCAATTGAGCAAGTATTAAAATGCAGTTTTTGTCAGGATATCGTAATGGGCGTCCATGAGCGATGCGCACCTCTTTGACTGTGTTGAGATCCGCGAAATGTGAGCGGACGTGGCGACGACAGGAGCCAGATGGTTGGAATGAGCAGGCGATGAAAATGCTGTGGTTAATACATTCGAAATGGCATGGTGATAAAAACTCGAGTCCCAAGATATTCTCGTTGGGCAAAATAATCTTGCTTGGAATTGGAGCTGGAAAGTCATTGGAGACAGCTGTCTCGTCTTCAGTGGTTGCCGAAAGCGTCGTGACCTGCAGAGGCGCCTCGTTATGAGCGGAGAGGATCTTGTTACTGTATTGATCATCAGTATTACTGGACGTTTTGCTTCCTTTTACTGTTTCCTCTGACTTTATCTGCGATGGATTTTTCGTTTCTGCTTCTGTCGCATAGTCGAAGCTATCCTCACTGAGGTTTGAAACTGCTGTTCTGGATTCAGTGTTAGTCTCTTCTTTGCTTTCATTTTCGTTTTCAAACTTTTCCTCGTTCATCTTTGGCTCATCGATTGAAACAGAATCGCCTGGTTTTGGTGAACTGTTGTCCAGCTGATCTCTGGGCAGTTGCTCATAGCTACTTTCACATCTTATTGAGGGAAGATTCTTTTTGCGTTCTACGTATTCCATCTCCACCTCAAATTCTGCCATGCGGCATTGTACGTCGAAGACAAACATTTTAGTATCATCAATGGCTTTATAAAATCTTATCTCTTTATCGAGCTCTTCCATTTCCATTGTCATCACTTTCCTTACGGCGATGGATTCCTCGCTTTGGTAAAGTTTCTCTAGCACATCAGTCCTCATTTGTAGTGACTGTGCGGCGACATCGACTTCTCTGAGAATTTGCGCATATTGGCGCAGATTGTAGGCGCATATCCTTCGCCGTAGATCGTCGTCATCTGGAAGTATTGTCTTCTTACCGCTGTAGGCGTACTCTTGCAGTACTTCCGTGAGGTTCTTGGTTTGCCTTCTAATTTGTTTGTAGAGGCTGGGAAACAGCTTCATTATGAGTTGAATCCCTTTGTGCTGCTATTGTAGCGAAGCACTGTGTCGGCCTTCGTATTTGGCCGATGCACCAAATGTGTCGCTGGTTCGTAGGCCTTATTGTGGCCTGAGGCGATATAGCGCCTAGTTGGGAGTATTTGACTCCTGTGTTATACAGAACACATGTGTAGTAGATTTATGAACAACGACGTGCACGTATGAGTGCAGTAGTAGAATGCTGAGTATGATAGGCGTGTCAAAGTAACATCACAAACATCTGGGCAATAGCATACTTATATCACAGCAGGTCATGCTTATGGCATGACCTTTACGGTGCTCAGGCAGAAGTAATGATATGGTTGCAAGGAAGGTGCCGATAAAGTCGGCACACTGCCCACGAATTTCAAGCGAAGAGAGCAAAACAAGAAAATTTTGCGCACTTTCCTGCATTTCAGAGGACACACTTTCGTAATGAACGGAGGTAAGGTCAAAAAGAGCGTACTTCAAAGCAACGTTCAAGCAGAATCTAAACCCCTTCAGCGGTATCTGCGTTGCAAAGTTCCTGAGTAACTTCCAAATGGAGGAAATAGACCTGGCAAAGACAAAAGTGCTTAGGTCACTTCCGCGCTTCCTTATCAAGCTCCGTTTCTCCTAGTGTAGAATGCCTTCTGGATAGGTTCTTCCAGAAATCCGGTTTTTGAGGGGTTTGCCATTTTGAAATTCCTGTCTGTAATCAGGGCCATGGAAAGGCCCTAGAAAGACAAAAAAAAACATGGAAGGCAAAATTTTGGGCGGCTGCCTTTAAGTACCAGGAAAAAGAGGGCTTTGAACTCATATAAGAATAGTAGGACATTTTTCAAAATCAGCACTTTGTGGAGGTAAAACATTTATGCAACAACACACCTACCTAAACACTCTCCAACCATATCCAACGCACAGAGTTAAGAGCCGTGGGGCGAAGTCTCGAGCAGGATTAATTGCATAAGCTACAATACTTTATTGAGAAAAGAAAAGCATAGTGCATAGGTACACACACCTGCATTCAAAGAGTACGACATTCCGATAGCGGCTAGCAGAGTGCCCATAAATGCTGGTTGAAGAAACGTTGGAATTCGATTCCGACGATCGGTGATAGCTGCGATTCCCATGCAAAGTACCGCCGTACCCAGCACCTAAACCCTTGAGTTTTGCTACGAAATTATAACAGCGAATTTTTGGGACTATTCGTACTTATTTTCGTGTATTGCGTGATTGGCAGAGCGATTGGCGAAATAGCCAAATTTCAATTATCTTCAAGTTTTTCGGATTTGCTTTTTTGACTTCCTTCAATTTTGAAAGTTTTGAATTGTACGGTTGTATGTTAACCTTTTGGCAACTTTTTGAAATTATTGACAAATTTCACAAACACATTTTTCATTTTATTTCACAATTGAAGCCTTTAAGGCAGTGTCCCGGCAGATTTTGCATTTCCATCTTTTTGCATGTTTTGGGCTTTTTCGACCCGTAGATCCCGAATTTGAGCTTTGCGAACGAAAAGACCTTTTTTCGGGGCTTTTACCCAATTCCCAAAAGGCAGCTCGGACTAGAATTTCACTGGAAAATTGGGAGGCCCTGGCACGAAGACCCAGTCGCCTGTAATTTTTGCTTCAAATAGCATGCACAATCCGGAGAGCGGTAGTGGGGTCCCGCGCCGAACAGGTAAGAGAAGTCGTCCAAGCGCGCGCCGGTTTGAGGGCCACTTTCTCGGCGTGGGGGGAACATCAACCAGCCGGAATGGGCTGGGGATAAGTGAGGTGACCAGGAACCCCATGGCAACTACATCCCCTAGGGTGCGAATCTGCCGGGTCACTGCCTTTAAATTAAACTTAGATCTGTCAAAACTCTATAATTATAAAGCTCAAAGTCTGCGACTAAGTCGTTAATATGTTTGAGGATTATTTGTGTTCAAAGAGGCGCTCGTCAAACTTTGCACACATCTGTTTTCAACCCCGGCGAGAACATAGGCAATTTTTTTGTAATGGTCCTCTATCGATTTATTAATTTGTTTACGTACTTTCCGGAATTTAGGGTTATCAATCACTGGATTGATCACTTCTAGTCATGTAAACAAGGCAATAAAAACCATTTTAGTCTCAGAATCAAAGTAGTGCGGTAAATAGAGGTGAAGTTGTGCCGAGGTAAGTCCTCCATAACCTAGAATCGGGGAATAGGGGAAGGGGGAGGTCTCGCAGCGCTGGCGCCTATACTGGTGACTATACTTGGGTCTGATTCGAACCAAAAGTTCGATCATTCGAATGAAACATCTAAATATAATCGCATTCGAAACACAAAACTCGGAGTTTTCCAAGAAAATTCAAAAACTCATATAATAAAAAACGGGTTTTGATAAATTCGAAACTCGAACAATCAAAAGTGGGTTTCAAGTATTCGAATACTTGAATAATCATAAAAATGGGAAATCAAATAATTCCGAAAACTCGAAGAATCAGAAACTGGAATTCGAGTGAATTTTGTTCGAATGTTTCTAAATGTTTTATTCAAGTTGGGAATTCGTATTAGAATTATTCAAATGGTGCAGAGCCAACTGCTGAGTTATCAAGCTCGCTTTATCTGCGTTTTTTTTCTCCTAAATTTGATAATGCATTTTTTTGAAGGCGTGATCAGCTCTAAATGTAGGCAAACTCGCATTCCTCGCATCCCATCAATACTCGGAAGAAGAGTCTCCCAATTATGTAAAGAGTAAATATTGCTCTGCTTTTACATTGTTGATCTTGATGGAAAATGATGTTATTCTTATATACATCAATCAAATTCTGACGATCTGAAGAAGAATCTTCACAGTATAAAAGTTTACACCAACTGTTTTCTCTTTAGGTGGCTCAACAATGGGAATTTAAAAATGACGTCTTGCTGATGTACAGACTGCTTGCCAAACAATGAATTTTCGAAAAGTTTTAGCCGTGGAGCTGGGAGATAAAACGTGAGTGAAGGGGGCTGATTATGAATAAATTTTTTGAGATTTTGTCGATTTTTGGAATTAAGCTACGGGTTTGAGAGTTGGAGAGAGTGGTAAACGAGGACGCTGATTATGAAAAATTGGCTCTAGCCGGGTATGCCAGCAAGTTTTAGATATCTCTCTAAAAATTCGCTAAATCGTTCGAATATCTATTCAAAATTTAATTTTCACTGTTTGAATATAGCCAATATTCATTCATTCTATATGTTTGACTTTCGAACTTGGACCCTGACCAGCTTCCCTGTATGTACCTCCGCACGCGGGGGGCAGCCAACATGAACGATAGGTTGTGCCAGCCACATGCGTTGCGTAGGTCAAATATTCTTCAGATTCTATATTTACGTTATAATGGCATTTAGAAATTTGGAAAAAACGCTGGGAGCTTAACGGGCCTTAATCTTTACTTTTTGACACCATTTTCAATCCAGTAAATAGCATAGGGCTTCAAAAAATAAGACTTTATGCGCGGTATATTGACAGCCGCAAGAGTACAGTATGCTTATTTCCAGCTATCGTTCATCTTGGCATACACCCCCGCACGCAGCTGCCTTCAATGCGTCTCTTGTAACTTCTACTAAAGAACTTTATGTTTTTCTCTCTTTTTCTTCAATCCCGTTACCCTATAACTTTCTACCTTAGCTTAAACTACAACGATAGCTACGAGTATTTTAGAGCCGCAGTGGTCCAAGCTTATACCATGTCTCCCATTTTTTTTTTTGAATGGTTTATACCTGAGTGGTTGTTGAAAGGAATTTTTCTCAAATTTTTTTTCACAAAATAGGCATGCCTGTCGGCTCAATTTCGTAGAGTGTAGAAGCTTGAAGTCGATGTGAGCTTTGAAATTTTGATTGTACAAATGCGCATGTGTTTTCGAGCTCTGACCATCGAGTCGTCTATGCCTGTAGAAGAGTAACGCTTCAAGAGAGATGTTCGTCCCTCTTCTGCTTCTACTTATTGCCATTTACCCATCATTGGAAGTCTAGAACCTGTATAATCATTGAAAGGATTGAAATTTAGGTGCTGCGCGAGAGCTGCATATGTTTTGTTCTTGCAAGGGCCTCTGTCGAGGTGTAACTAGAGTTCTTCATTTCTCATTTCACTCAAAGTGAGCGTAGAAATGCTTTACTTTTCTCATTTGAAATGAGAAGCATCAGATCATGTGCGCGGTGCGTGTGCGCCGCAGAGGCACCTATGAGAAGCCAGCCTGGATCTACACTACATCTGCCCGCATTAATTCCTTCGCTGATTAAGGCTTCCACCACTTTCTGCGCTCAAACAGCATTATCCTGCCCCATTCTTGCACTATAATGTTGTATTAATGTTACCTGATCGACAATGGCGTTAAAAGTACCAAGATGAGGTTGAGGATATGTAGCGAAGATATGAGCCGTTGAACGTGGGCCCGATACGTGGCGCGTTCCATTGTCAAAACTGTTGATAGCATCTAAAATAAAATATTTTTTTCATCTGTTTACAATGTGGGAACAACTGAAAAGGGAACTAGTCGGTTAAACCCAGGGCTCGGCACGAGCTGGCGCCAAAGAATTTACGAAACGGAGTTCCCTTCGATTGTGAAAATTCCGTACGAACTCCCTTCCCTAAACCCTAAACGTAAAAAACCCTAAAAAACGAAACGTTCACCAGAAAGAAAACGCCGCAATTTTTGTCTTTTCGGTCACAAAAACTATATCCCCTTTGCTTTAGGTTCCAAAAACTATATCCAGCTTGACGAGCTGGTGCCAGGCCTGGTTCAGCCCTCTGTCACAATAATTCAGCTAAGAGAAGAAAGAGAGCACTTTCTAGCTGTCCCCTAGAAATTATTCCAGCATACTTTTAGTCGAACGCTGCACTCAAGCACAGCTTGCATACTTCACTTTATCTAGCTCGGATCTGCCCTAAATACGAAAATGAGAAGTGGAAATGATCTCACCGTAGTATGTGATGAATGTTGACAATGCACCCATGAATGCGCCCAGATTTTGCGCAATAACATACAATACAAATCTGCAATGGAGAGATTGGAAACTTTAGGAAGTTACTGTAAGCAAACATTGCTAGCCAACTTCAAAACATTGTATCTTCCCATCGACAGTTTAAAGAACGACACGGCTGGATTTAAGTCAGCTCCTAAAGAAAAAAAGGTAATTTTTACCTATCTAATTACAAAGCTAGCAGCTCAAAAATGGTCCTAAAAAAATGAAAATAATCTTTGGCTAATAGACCAAGAACTATGTGAATTTAAACTAGATGCATCCACCTTACTAAGTCAATATTTCAAAACCCTTTACCTGAAATGTGAAAGCCCATTGTTATGGCTATGAATAGCACCAAACCCCATCCTACAGCAACACATACATACTCATTAGTTCGCCTTTGGGACAGGATGTACTGGGCGTTGACACAACCACCAGCAAACTAAAAGCTGGGAGTTGAAAAATGGGATTCTGCGTATTTAGTTTATCAAAGATTGTAAGCAGCTAATAGGAGTACTTTTTGTTAGTGAAGTGTACTACGAAGGGGCGTGGTATGCAGTAAAGGGGCGTGGCTGGGAGCTTGAAAGATCAGACAGGCAGTAATTGAGTTTTTCCAAGACATATCAAGCTTGTATGCGAAAAATATGAATAGCAAACTAAAAGCAGCTAAAATAAAAAGACTTTTCGAAGGAGTGCATACTAAAAAGGGGCGTGGTAGGTACCACCTGAAAATGGGCGTGGCTGGCATGAGGTTGAGAATCCATTGAGACAAGGATGTACTTTTCCACTATGTATTTAGTTACTTTGTGCATTAGTGTTTATACTATATGGAAAACTTACCAATAAGAATGCCGTGCAGAAAAATTCCGCTAAAACTGCACGATACAGTTCATTGCTGATGTTGAACTTTTGCCGTAATCGTTCCACCAAAATCATATTTTCCTGGACATAAAAAGCTTTCTGAAGTGCTGAGATAAGGTCTAAGTGTGCGAGTGATTTTAAAAAGTGGTAGAGATTTAGTGAATGATTATCATGTTAGAAAGATAGGCCATTGGCTGAAAGGACAGTTGGCGAATGTAGAGTGGAATGATTAATTATGTGCTAGGATGTGATATCGATCTAAGCTTTGTTTACATAATAAGGAAGTAAAGAGATTAGCAAAATTTGTATTTTTTTGATTTGATAATGGTTGATATATAGGTTTCTAGCGATGGCGAATAATCTTTTTGAGCAAGCAGGAAGGGAATACAACAATTTTTTGCAAGCAACTTTTTTGATCGAACAGGCTGAGTGCTGAAAAATACTTTTGGGTAACTTCTCCATATTTTGTGAGCTTGCAACTGTGAAAGACACTATCGAAAAAATTTAAAAAGTTCGATTTTTATGGAACCTACAAAAACAATTTTGGTCATTTACAAAATTACTTTCATAAACTCTTAGGTTATACAGAACACTCCAAAGGGCTTTGCGGACCGACCAAAATTTCAATCTTCAATTTTTATAAATATGCTCACTTTCTGGAAGACTAAGATATTGATAAATCGCTGCTGATCTCTCTACAAATCAAACAAGCAGGTGTACGCTGTGATAATAAATGTTGGTAGTCATGGTTTTGGTGATAAAAACCTATTTGCTCACACTACTCAGCACCCAAAAAAGCTGTTTATCACAGTTGTTTATGTAAAGAAAGTTCTTGTAGAAATTTGGACGTAAAATAGGCTCAAAATGCTTTGATTGGCTAATGAGCCTTGTACCGAAATTTTTGAAAATTTCATTATATTTCCAAATATAACGAATCTATCTGAGGTGAAAAATGATCGGAAGAAAAAAAATCATGCGCATAAAAATGAAGTACAACATCGATACAAACAAACTAATAAATTGAATCTTTTTGATTCTCGACAACAAAAATGCCAAAATCTGACAAGTCTAATTTTTTTCAATTTTAGGTTGTTTTTTATGATCCGCTCTCATACTAAGATTGCTGATTTACAAGAAGTGTAATTTCCAAATTGCTTTCTCGAAATTTGAATTTGACCAGATCAAAATTTTTAATATGCATGATAAAATAATACGTAATAATATGTTGTGCAGACGGAAAGGGTTGCCTCAGCATTTTTAAATTTTTTAAAGTTTTTGGTGGACGGCTTATGTTACAGCCGAACAGACGTAATTGTTTGATTTTATTCAACCTTCATCAAGAAAATCGAAAAATTCGCTTGCGCTCGGTATGTGCAGACTTTCTTCAAAAATAGTAAAAACGGTAAAAAGCATAGAATCCTATAGAATACATGCATATTCATGCACTATTATTGGTAGCTACTGTTCTCACATCCTTGTCCTCCTTCTCATGAGGTGGAGATTTGGTAACAACAGAAGTTTTATGGCTATTGAATAAATCCAATGCTTCATTTTGATTGTCCACAGAAATTCTTTCTAAATGGAATTTTACCTCCACGTCTAAGCTCGACTAATGTCTTTTACCTGAAAGCTTCAGAGCTGGGTAGTCAGGGCTCAAATATTGTCGTTCTGCAGGGGATGTGGGTAGCTGGAGAGATTCGACGATGTCACTAACAACGCTGTCTTGTAGTTCATCGGTAGCCCGCTCTTTCGCATTACCGAACTTGAATGGAGGCGATGGCGATTCTTTTCCTTCGGAGGTTTCTGGCTTTGTTGATACTGGCATCATCTTGGGACGATGGAGTGAGGGAAGGAAGGGGGTCAAACAGAGAAGTTGAAGGTAGCAGAATATTGCGCAAGAAAACGAAGCAGCTAGCAGCGCTCTGCGGGTCGCTAATGAAGAAAGGGGGTTAGAGTTGCTGAATAACACCAGCTTGAAAACGAGTTTTTACTATTTTCGTACTGTTCGAGACTTTAACAGTTGATGAAGTAAGGACGAGAAGAAAGGAAAAACTAAAGCTTAGTACTAAAAACTAGCTTCTAATTAAGTATTTATATTAGATTGGCTAAAAATCGTCTTGGCATGAAAATCTCCATAAAACTTTTCTTGTTGTTTTCTATCCACGACTTTTTGAGGAGAAGTAAACATATTAACTAGGCAGAATTTCCTCTAGCAGAAAGGAACAGTTATGCCCTAAAATGGATAATAATCCAAAAGCTCAGCTCTGTGATTTTCTAAGTTTCGTTTTTCATGCTGTGATGGATGTAGAGATGAGCAGTTTTGTTTAGTTTCAAAGTATTCTCTAATTAGCGATTAGAGGAATTTTGAGCGAAAAAAAAATCAAATTGCCTCACATTTGCACATAATCAGAAAACTGAAGTATTCTACGTCTTTGCTCTTTTCTCTTCGTCTCTTTTCATAGAGACAGATTCTACTCAAACAAAATAAGTATTTTGACTCTCATCAAAGCGCTCTCTCCATAGGTACCAAGTCCAGGGCAAAAACCTGCATCTTGTGAGGGCAGAGAAAGCGAGTGATTATTAGCCAACCTAATATTAGGTTGTCCCGAAAGTTTTGTCCGTTTTTTCAACTTATCATAAAAACGCGTGGAACGAAGATAGGGAAACGCTCTAGGCACTATATGACGCATCTTTTCCTCCTCTTTCTAAATGTCAAGCCCACATGCCGATTACTCTTTTGCTCACTGAGGTAAACGCCGAAATTTCGAACCCATGGTTTTTACTATGTTCAAGTTTGGCAATTTTTCACAATCTTTATTTTTGACTTTCGGAAAAGCTTTGGCAACAGTTAGATAGAGCAAACAAAGGGCAATATAATGCAGTTTTGCGGCATCTATAGCCAGCCTTGAAAATTTTTTAGAATTATTTTTCTGATCCTATCAAATTTCACTTCTGGTGATGCCAAAAGCCAGAGATCATGAAACGGCGCACAACTAAGGTGTTATTCGATGCAGCTTCTCCTCTTCTTTCCAGTGAGTGTATTTTCTCTCCAATTTGCGGGGTCTTCGGCGATAAAATTTTCATAATTCTTGAATTTGACCCCCCACCCCAGCGTGTACACGTAAAATGCAAAATCTTATATTTCGAAGCGGTAAACACTCATTTGCTTCGTAAAAATAGTGAGTAATCGTAATCGGTTTTTGAGAGCTTCATCCGATGATTTGTTAGTGTTCGAGGCGTTCCTGTATTTTAGAATTTCGCAAAAGTGAAGACTTTTGAAAAAATCATCTTAAAAAATATTGAAAAGCCAGCTTTATGCCAAATGATTGCATTGCATTGCCCTTTGTTTACTCTATCTAAGGGCTATCAAAGGTCTTCCAAAAGTTGAAAATGAGGATTGTGAAAAATTGTTAAACTTGGACATAGTAAAAACCATGGGTTCGAAATTTCGGCGTTTATCTCAGTGAGCAAAATAGTAATCGGCATTGGGCTTAGAAAGAGGAGGAAAAGATGCGTCGGCTGGTGCTTAGAGCGTTCCCCTTCTTTGTTTCACGTATTTATGATAGATTGAAAAAACGGACAAAACTTTCGGGACAACCTAATATTATTATCAACACTATTTTTGACATTTATAGAGATGCTTGATTATCCCCTTTCTAGGGTTAAATTGAAAATTCTACTCAGTTAATAAGACAAAACAAATTACCGGAGTTAACTCCTGTAATTGTTTTGTTTGGTTAAAACTCTGGGTGTAATTATTTTGCTTGGTTTCTACTTGACATTTTCTAATTTTACAGATTAAAACTTTGGATGAATAATCAACGAGAAGTCAGCACTGGGAAAAAATGTAATCCAAGCTTTTATGATAGCTGTAGCAAGAGTTTGCAATATGACAAGAAAACTGGAGTTATGCATCTTCGGTAAATATTTTAATTTTTTTCTGTCAGTCTTAAACCCCCAGACCTGTTGACTCCAGAACCTCTCAGATATTCCAGATCAAGTTGATTACAGAAGAACAAAAGCATCGAATTTTTTACAACTATTTGAGGACGACGAGGCTTTGTTACAAATGGAGGGTGCAGTATTTCATTATAAAAATTTATTGATTGAAGATAATTCTTTTCACATCACTGCCAAAAATCATCATTTATCTAATTTGGCGTAATTTAGCTAATTACTGGTGAGCTTGCTTCTTTTATTTATTTGAGCGCTTTGAGAACACCTTTTATATCCTATAGTTCTTCTAAACAATTTATTCCAATTCATTCAAACATGCACTGCTGAAACAATAATCAAAAATTCAAAGCTTCAACGATTTTTTTAAATTTTACAAGATTTTTGCTCTATTCTTTGGTTAAACGGCTGTCTCAATTTTTTATAAGCTGTTTTTGTTGCTGAAAAAATTGCAGCAAAAAATGCCAAACATTAACGAAAAAGATTGCAACACGTCAAGCGTGAAGGTAATGATCGACAAGGCTCGAATTTCAAGAGGAGGTGGCTGTTAAGTCTGGCATATCATATCACCTGAAAGAAGAGCGACGGATGTGACACATCACATGTGATCCTTTTGATCAAAGAACATTTACTCAAAAATTTTATGACTAAGAGTACGGTAGCAAAAGTGCGAAAATTTTGGGACCAAAAATGGAGTGAACTGAGAGCTAAAAAAATGCCTATAAATGCATTGGTATTGCATGGTCGAACCGTATGTACCATGGGGGTAAATTTGCATAAACCAATCGGTGTGCGACGGGTACAAAAACATGCGAGCCAGAATAATCAAGATTTATCATCGGATTTGATTACTAAGGCCGTTTTAAGTTCAGAGAACAACTGGCAATCCGCACAATTATGGCTGACGAACAGTTTAGCCACAAACATCAGAGACAATCTTCTGCATAGGGTGTAGATGTAGAGATGTAGAAGAACTACTGCCCAAAAATTTAAAGGTTTATTTGTTTACCAATTTTTTCTAGAGCCCCAAGGCGCGCTTAAACAGGTCAAGTTAGCGAACAGAGACTTGAAGGCATAGGCCACCCAAATTGAGGTCGGTGAGTGACTTGTATAATAGCGCGGTCCCCTAACTAAGTCATTGCCTAAGTCCCGCTATAAAAGATGACTTCCGAAGCGAGGAAAATGGTCCAGAATGTAGAAGCGGCTCAGTTGTCAGAAAATGAAAAATCCAAAATCGGGCTTTAATGTACTGGGTTGTCCGGAAGGTGACCGTCGCATTCAGCCTACTGCGGCAGAGTAAACACAAAAAAAACAGTGAGTGGGATGATATTGATTGAGCATTTGATAGAGCAGAGTAAGTTTCACAAAATCATCCAAAAAATTTTGCAAACTTTGATCAACATGAAGACAAAAACAAAAATTTCATGTACGTAAAAAATCAGATTTCGTTCTACGAAACTCTTAGCACTGCAGATTTGCTCAAGTATGTACTATCTACATAGGACATGTTTCATGTACAGTGGACTTTTCTATGACTAGAATACGAGACAGAAAAATAAGCCAAAAGTGTGAATACGTCGCGTTTTTCGGGATTTTTTGCGATCGTTTTGCTATTTCTCGGAGGCCAGCTTTCGTAGGAAGTAAAAAATCATGGTTATATTTTCAACTTATACTACAAATCATCTGGGAGAAAACTCAAGGTTGATCGGGCAAACACTAAAAGTTTTCGTTTGTTTAATTTAGCAATGAAAAAATCACGAAACTGTGCTTGCGAATGTATGATGTAGAGATGTATGCGTGAGAAAGTTGAGTCCCAGAAATTTTTTGAACGAAGGTACCATTTTTTAAATTTTTCAGGCATTTGATGCACATCAAAACTTGGCTCTAAATTTGGGCAAATCAGATCTATCGTAGATGTTTAAGCTTCATTTTGTAGAGTTTTTTGGTCTACAAAACGCTAACTCATTCACTTTTCTCGTGTTAACCCTGCCGCGATATCTGAGCTGTGTCACGATGCGACGTTATTTTGCGAACAATCTAATATCTAGGATTGTCATGAACCTGCCCTTTATTATGATTGCCAGCCAAAATTTTAAAATCTTTAATATGTGTAGACGGTGCTTCTAAAAAGCTATCAAGATTGCAAGCTTGCTAAAAATATGAGAAGCATCTTAGGAGATTCTGCTAATAGCTTAAGCCAAGCTCATTCGTTCAAAAAAAATTTCTGATCTTTCTTAAAATTGTTAATATCGCTACGGCTGAATATAGGACAATCAGGAGAGGGCGGGGTCGTCGCCAGTGGGCGGTCTTGGCAAAAAATGTAAAGCAGCAAGTAACTCATAGACCAAAGAGACATTATGATAAAGTTGCAAGAGGCTTGCGCGTTACCAATTATAACTTCATTGAGGGAGAAATCTGAACAATGAAAATACGAATTAATGAATGTATGAGTGAAGGGATGAATCAATGAATAATTGATTGAATGAATGAATAAGTGAATGAATAAATGGATGAATGAATGAATGATTGAATGAACGAAGGGGTGTACGGACAAATGAATGAGTGAAGAATGAATGACTGAATGACTGAATGAATAAACGAATGAATTATTGATCGATTTATTGATTGATCCATCGTATTTGTGAAAATTTGAATATTTTTGCGATATACGTCTGAACTTACATCGGACATGAATCTCCATTCAAAATATTGACGGTAGCGGTGTTCACGTAAAAAATCATCAAATTTCATTTAGCTCGCAGTACACACAGCACTCTGAAACACGACTTAGCGTCTAGAATTCGCAAAATGCGGAAAGGGTGGTTCAAATTGTTGAAAAGTCGATCTACATAATTCATGTGAGTCATCATCTGTCAACTACCGGATCAGTGCATGAATATTACTGCGGATCTGCATATGTTCAAAAGTTCGAGTGCAATGTTCGTTCTATAGAGCTCACACTATGGAAAAAATGCTTATTGATTCGATGAGCAACAACTAAGCAAAATTTTTATGAAATCGAAAGCCTACCGTCAGAAGCCTCCAGGAAAAGCGAGAAGGTAAGCTGTGAAAGTACTTCAGCCGAACCGTTGTCCAAAGGGCGATAAATCTCGTTGTAAGACGAGGTATGTCAGACTAGACATTGGTAAGCAGTTTGTCAACGGTAATGTGCATATTCGCTGTAGTATGAAGGTTTTTTGCTAGTTTTATGTGCATTTGCGGTAGTCGTAATCACTAGTACTTGTAGATCAATATGTGTACTCATTCAATCATTCATTCATTCACATTCAATCGAATTTATATAAGCGAATGATCAATCAGCCCCTTCTAAGCCACCTTTCAAATCAACGTATATAAGGTGGATTCTACTACCATTCTCTAAGGTTACATTTTTGAGTTTTTTCGAAAATTCGTAGGGTCATAATTTCAATACCAAAAATGAAAATACGAATCATGCCGAATCTGCAGTTATTGTTCTTTTTTGATCCTTTTTTGAGAAGTATTTTTTGTAACTAAAGAAAAGTAGGCGAATTTCCGTCATTATGGCAAATACTGCAATAGTAAAAGGCAATAAAAAGTCCATAGTGTCCCTTTTATATTCCAAGACGGACTGTATAGCACAGAATTAACTACATCATACGTTTATTTGACAAAGCGGAAAAATTTTGAACAGCATTTTTAGACAAAAAGAAGTTTGAACGCGGAACTATTTGTGTTGAGACTAATCCTCAGATTAATAACATGATTATTTATACCATAACAAAAGTGTCACCGAGTGCAGCTCATAACAAAGCAACATAGTATTTTGAGTACAAATAAGGTAGCAAAAAGATTTGTTTAGTTATTTGTTTTCGTGAAACTCAACGTACGTAGCCAGTCAGAAAGCAAAGAGTGAGGAATGGGTGATTGGATGGAATGTAAATTTTGTTTATATGTTCAAAAAAGACCTTCACGAGCACGAGGACTGCTGATTAATATGATTTTGTTTCGAAGCAAATCCACCAATTGTTGTGGATTACTTACGCTAACAGCTGATGGTCGGGCCTTTAACAATCTCGACTTTTTTCTCTTCCGCACCTTATTCAACAAGTTTCTAAAAAATGTTTTTTTCGTCGTCGTAATTCATGGCCGTACGTTATGTTAACCAGAATCAAACGAAGGTCAAACTGGAAATATTATAACAGTCCAAAAATTCAAAGTTCCCATTGATTTGTTTACTAGCTAAGACAATACTTGTCATTCGAGTATAACCACTAATTTTAACATACTTTTTTTGATAAATCTCCAATTCAGGTCTTTAGTAACATTTTGAATAATTATAGAACACCTAGCAAGAATTGAGACCTTCATCAATAAGGAAATGTTGATGCTGATATCATTCGTCATAATCATTCATTCACTTATCCCTTCATGTAGAGATAGGCGAAAATGATGAAGTAGGTGGTGGAAAGGACAAAAAAAAAAGAAAAAACGTTGAAAAGGGAACGGTAAAAATGCGAGCTTGTTAGCATTTATACCAAGTGTAAGTGTAAGAGTTTACTCTTGAAAATTTTATACTGATGAGCTCGAGGCAGACGAGGTTATTGAGAAAAAGTGTAGCAGAGTGTAAAAGCTTCATTATGTGAGAATGTAGAACACACAGGGCCGAACGCCACTTGCGTTTTCTGTTCGGCATTCATTTACAGCGTGTAAGAGAACAAAGTTTATGTGTTTGGATTATGGATGGCCAGCCATGAAAAAAAAGCGAGACAGAGAAAAGGATGTGATCTGGATTAGCAGCAAAGACTTTTAGAAGGGTGGAGAGGAAGGAGGGGGGGGGCTAGAGTTGCCGTCTGGAATAAATTGAATTTTGAATATTCCGCAAAAATTTAGGATGAATTAGAAACTGAATGGATAAGACAAGAGAGGTTTGAGTTATTACTCTATAGTCCTGTCAACTTCATAAATTCACAGTCCTGGGATCAAAATTTTGGAGACCTTTTTAGGGCACACAAAATTTGAACTGTTTTCTGTCCAAAGAATGACCAACTATTGCTTTTTTAAACATCGGAATTTCAGGCCGATGATAATTGGAAACACTGAAAGTGATCTGCAACACAAATTTTCTACTCCAGGATTTCTTTTTGCTTACTGCTGTGAAATTTGTTCTCTAAAGTTGTCAAAATCTATCACCATACAAACATGAATTTCTATGAGCGAGATGTATGATCTCTGCTGTTAGGAGTCTGCGAGTCTTCCTACAATTTTGCATATTTTGAATTTAAATGAGAATTACACAAAAGTAATGGAATAGTCAAGTTCGGACAAATTTTGATCTTTTTAGAGTTCTCTAATTGATCTAAAACCCTTACTGCGTCGTATTTGTGTTTGGGTAACTATTTGCTGCAATTAATGTTTTTTGAAGTTCTTTATTTAGCCTAAAACTCGGCCTTCTATTAAAAGGTTATTGGTCCTTAATTTTGCATCACACTTATTTGAGTGATTAGTTATTGTAAAATTAAGTGATAAAAATTGAGAAAAATCGAACGCAAAGTAATCGGCTCAAAAAGGAACAAACCGCTGGACCTTAAGTTATCGAATTGGCTTTAGGGAACACAATATTCCACTCCTAAAAAGCAGGACGGTTTTTTCTGAAAAATCTTTATTTATGGAAGATTTGTGAGATTTGAAATTGTTTACGTATAACAGGGAGGGGGTATGCATGGTGATCTCTGCATTTCAAGATGCTTTGGAGACTAAATAAGACTCCATTTCGTTCCCTGTCTTTTTAGGCATTTTTTCTCGTGAAGTTCATCTAATACACCCTCTTTGAACCATTATTGATGCCTGCGTTTGTAAAAGCTCCCGGTTCGTGAAGATGCTTTGAAGGCGTATTAGATTTTTCAAGTTTAGCGGCTCTATCAAATCAGCAGTCGTACACTAATAAGAGGGGTGAGACACTCCAAGTGAATAAATGGAACCATTTGCGCATAAAGGAACCCGTATCGCCATTAGATGTCTCCACATTACATGAATATCCTTACGAAATATTCCGAGATGATGCTCATAAATAAATGTTTTAAAGAATGAACAAATAATATCTAACTCAAATAAATGTTTTTGAAATTTTTTTGCGTGTTTTCCAAAAATGATACTGATTATTGCACTTTCTTACTGTATAAATTCAACAAAACTAGGAATTCATAGCTCGCAAAAAGCCCATAGTTGAGATATTGTGGAGCTTGTCAGAAAATTAATGTGCAAGTAGATAAAACAACAAGAAATAATGAAGCAATTGATTGAAACATTTACAAAAACGCCACTAATTGCATTATCACAGGTTTGACCTTCAATACTTATGTTTTAAATCTATATCAGAATATTAGGAAAGAGTAACCCATGAGACAATCATACATATCTTGTTAAAATTCTGAAATGCTTCTAGAACATCATGAAATACTATTGCGCTAATTGGTGTCCATTTGGCGATGAAAATCGCGCCTTTTGACATAAATCCCATAGGTGTATGTAAAAAAAATTCTATAAGTCGTGCATCAATATACTGAAAAATGTAATTTTGGCTAGTCTCAAAAGCTTATTCAATCAACATAAACTGCGAATAGAAAATTTTGCATTTTCAAGAGCGCTTGACCCAAAGTCAAATCGTAGCAAATGAATGTGTTTAATGGTAAGTGCTTCACTTTACAGCTGGCAGAGGGCACCACTGATGAGAAGAAGCACATGGACTGTAATTCTCAAAGGCTATAAAAGTGCATGACTTCCGACAAAATTTGGATTTTTTGTTTCATTCTGGTCTTAAGGCCTACTTATTTGATAGAAGTCCAAGCTGATCGGTTATATTGTTTTACTGCATGGATATGTACCACAGGATGTCCAAAAAATGTGCACACTGTTTGATCTCAAATAACTCTCCTGCTTCAGCCACTTTCAGCGTTTAGATACCGTTCTGGAGAGCCCTTCAACTTACATTGACTGTATGGGGCGAATCTCCGATCTCTCTTCGCTACTGTAGGGTTACGGTAGCCACTTCAAAGAAGGTTTGAGCGGTTGAAGTCGCATTTCGCTACAAAGAAGGTGACCAAACACGCCAAAAACTCTTATACTAAGCTGATTAGAGTCATTGATTTCAAATACGAACTTTCCACAACACGGTCATGTTTCCTTCAAGAATTATTCCAAGGAAACAGTGACTGTTTTCCACTTTCAAAAATTGATTAAACCTCTTAAAAAGAAAAATTTATAGAAAAGTTGCGCAATGAAACCAGCTCGCCTAAAACCCCGCTACACAATATTGGCACTGTTTGCTAGAAGTTTCTACCGTAATCCTGCAGTAGCGAAAAGTGATCGAAGTTTCGCTCTCCACTGAAAGTTTACGTTGAAGCAGCTCTACACAATGGTACCTAAAGACCAGCGATAGACGTCGAAGCGAGCGAGTTATTGACGATCGAACAGTGTTCAAATCTTTTCGGGACACCCTGTAATCAAGCGATAATATAAGAAGAGCCGTGGTTCGTTATGGATAGACGACTTGAAGAAAGAAAAAAACTCCCCGTCATTTCTACCCTTAATCTTCTGTGATGACAGTAACTGAGTTGTTAACAATAGTTTACAAGTATACTATGATCAATTCTTAAACTATCATTTCGTTGCCTGCAATTGCGGAAAGTACATGAAGTATGTGAATGAAGAGCAAGACAGTTGTCGACAACAGCTGTTATCGCTATGCTCACATAAGATTCGTTTCCGGCTGTTCGCTAATACACAAGGCATGAGGC